ACGGTTCTAAAAAATCCAATCAATAAAGGGGGGCTTGGAAAATACAATTAAATATTTATGGGTTAAAGCGGCGATGTCAGTCGGCGGAATTTTAGCTTAAAACAAATCAATTAATTAACTCGCACGCAAGGTATTTTACAAATCATACTTAATAAGGTCAAATTGGCAATTGAACAACAAAAACCTGACAAAAAAACAAGCGAGCGAGCAGCAATCCAAAACGAGTTGGCTTATAAACAAAAAACGTATCTTTTATCGGACTTTATGCAAATTGAGAGCTGAAAAGTTGCCTCAGCCAGCGGACAAAGAGATCGAAGCCAGTTAAATAACAAATTGATAAATATTAATAAGGCCGGAGGGTTTGTTTGGTGTGTGCGTGCATTGCATTTACGCTTGAGTTATCCGCGAGCTATCTGCGTATCTAGCAGATACAAAATGTCATCGCTGCCAGTTACAGTTAAGCTGCAAAAGCAAACTACTTGGCCATTTGAGCGGGACTTTTTATGCAAAGCACAGCGCATGTGGAATGTATCCGCCAGATACAAATTGCACTTGCAATCGACTGTAAACAAAACAAAGGCGCAAGAAACACGCGTGCGCTCGTAACTGGAGATACAATCAACGTTGCTTGGTTTTTGCCTCGTCGCAGACTCAGATACATGTGTATCAGCGCGATTGCGGCAATCTAATATTTATTAAGACGCCGTGTGACTTATGCACCGCGATGCCTTGACTTTAGTCCACGAATCAGCTGGATGCAATTGTCGTCCGTATCTGATGACTCAAAATGGGTCACCAGATAGTGCCGAGATATTGTATTGTTTACCTTTCAGGCTGCTCGTACGTTGTAAAGTGCCAAGCCTCAGATAAGCAGGAAGGGTATTAAAATGTTTTTAATGCAGTGTTTTGTTCATGATTCACCAGCTACTTCAGTCAATTACACAAAATTTGTTTGTGATTTAGGATGAGTAACCGAAACCGAAAGGTCTCAGCTGATAGAATGTGGTATATTAAAAGGAAGTACATAATCTCTGAATGTTTTGGTCAACACGAACAATTTCCGCTTACTGAATTCCGAATTTTTGAACAAAAAACCATAGGTTACAAAGATATGAAATACAAAACCTCTTGATCGATAAGAACATTATTATTTTAAGGTACCACCAATTTTCATTTTTACTGAAAACCAATAGGTTTCACATAATTAATTTCTGAAGAAAAGCACCAAAAGTTTGGTATTTATGAATTAGTAATAAAATAAGTTATCTTGGTAGGAATTTCCAGTCCGATTTATGGATGAAGGCAAACCCTCTTATCTGATAAAAGCACCTAGCCAGTAAGGAATTCCTAGCCTGGTTTTTTAAGAGGGGAAAGCCAGAGACTTCACCTTCGAATCGGGGCTTTCCACTCCAATAACTTTGGCCAATGGCTCTCGCTCGAAGCCAATTCCATTGCGATCCGCCCAGAAGGCAATTCACAATTAGCAAGCGGTAACCTCAATGGCTCGACATGTCCCCTCCACTCGTGTCACTCGTGGCAACGGACATTGGCTGGCAACCTTGTGTTATGGGTATGGGTATGGATATGGGCACGGGGAGTATAGTGTATATATAGCGCTATTGGATAAGTAAATGCCGATCAGCGATCGACGGACGGTTAAGCTTACTGTGCGATCGGCGTTCGTAAGCGACACATAAACCATAATTAAAATCGAAAAACAGTTGGCCCCAAATCGAAGGCACCGAAAAAACCAGTAAGCAAAACCAAAAATGCGCGCGCGTTTGCGCACTGCGCACCTGTTTTTTTTTTTTCGTACCCCCTCCCCCATCGTCAATACCCCTCTAGTCCACCACCCTCACTGGAGTTGGCCAGTTTCATGAAACAATTACGAATACGAGTGCAAAACACAAGCAAAACAAAACCGATCCGATCCAAAACAAGCTGGAGCGAGCGCCAAGTTGGCCAAGCTGTTGGCCAAGTTAAGACGACTTGGGGCTACTTTGGGGCGACTTGAGAGGTCCACTCGGCATATTGCAACGTTCACCGCTGCTGTTTAGAGCTTGTTGTTGTTTTTATTGGGGCATAAACACGGGCACTGCCAATGCACAGTGGTGTATTGGAATTTATAAATTTAAAACGCCACTAAATGATTTGATTAATGTTTCAACAAGGCAAGACTTATTTTAAACGCCAGTTAAGGTAATAAATTCATTTAAGGTAAAAAAGTTAATCACAAAACATCTTCAGATAAATAAAGAAATTAGTTATTTAATACTAACCAAACATATTGTGCACAAACAGTTGTTTTGTTCATAAAAATTGGTATAAAACAATTTGTATCACAGATTTTTACATCAATTATATTGCAAGCCATGTATTTGTTTAAATTACTTTAAGCCAAATGGCTTGTAAATTTACTTGGTTTTCTTTGTTTGCTACTTAGGTTTGGTGATTTGCATAAACACAAATCTATAATCTTTCAAGGTGAGCATTGGGTTTGTGTTTTTCTTAAAAGCCTTATAAGCACGGTTATCTGCAGGGGTATTGTAATGACGTTGTTGGGGTTTTCGGCCCACAGTGATCGGCAACTGGCCCGGTTTGCCTACGAATGGAGTAGCCTCTCTTCGTCACCCCACTGCGTTTCCACCTTTCCCACTGCCACCCCCCTTTTGTCCTTTTTCTTTAACTCTGCACTGAAACAAAATCAGTTGGATATCAAATTAAAATCTCTTACAGAAGTTATATACTTTGCGAGGGAAAGTGCCGGTACACAATATTTGGTTTTTGTATACGATATTGTGTGAAAATGGACACAAATGAATTTAGAGAATATCATAATAAGGTAAAGCGTAGAAAAACTGGCTCTGGGAGCTTATGTTTTTAAAACAACAATGCAGAAATTTAACTGTAGGCCAGGTGTTGGTTATTGCTATTGCTCAACAAGTACTATTTTATAACATTTCATCATTTTATTTATATTATATTGATAAATGTTACATGTTATATCAAATTAATCGTGATACCATATGAAATTTTCTTACTGTGTCTGCTGATCGCTTCGATTTCTGCTCGATCGCTCGCCTTTTTAGCTTTGGCGTAAAATTGCAGAGCGATCTTGTTGTTGTTGTGGTTGTTGCTTTTGCTTTTCTGCCATTAAGGCAACAACGGCTTAAACACACACAGACAAACATCGAGCAAGAAACCTGTAGAATTTACAATTACAACAACGGCAAACACAGTGCCGCGTATCTGCGTCAATGCTTTTTTAACGTTTTTTTATACTTTGTTCGCTTACTGGGCGCATTTGCAATTGAAGCGTGGCTCACACAGATACAAAACGCACACATGCAAGCCGCTAGCCCACTTGATATCGCCATCCCGTTCGCACCGAGCGGTTTGAAGTCTGAACGTGTTTTTTATATAACTTTTTTATGCGCATAGTTTTGTTGTTCATAAAAACTTGTTGTTGTCGCTTGTTTTGGTTTTTTTTTAATTTCTGCATATATTTTTTGGTGGGAATATTTGGCATTTTGTTTTCTTCATGTTTGAGGAATTTTGTTTTTTCCATGTCTAGCGATAAGTAGATGCAAGATACGAACGAATAAATGCATTTGGCTATGAGTCATATGGATTTGGGATTGCAAATGGTATTGGGAAATTTGTGTAGGTAATGTTTCTCAGAAATCTAATCCCAAAAACAACTTCAGCTTTTCAATTTTTGCACACGCCATGCAATATAATTTAATAGATAAATCATTTTCGAATCTGTTATCTCATTGAGTTTAGTGTCAAATTGGAGCTCGCTCAACTCCCGACTCGGCTCAATTCACCGCCATCCCACTTGACGACTACAATCCACTCAACTCTCATGACTTAATTTGGTCTTGTGCAATTTACTGATTATCTCATAATCATCTGCTCGTGTGCTTCAATTTGTTTCCAAGAGACTTTTTCTCCGCGGCTTAATGATGCTTGGAAATTAACCATGGATTACATAAATAAAATAAAGCAAGAAAACAAAAGCTGGCAACAAATTTGATTTTATTAACTTGCGCCTGCATTTCAAATTTGGCATTTACAACATTTTTTCTGTCGCGTGTGTGTGTTTGGTGTTTTCGTGTTGATTTATGCCGATTTTGGCCAGCCGCGTTTTCAGTGAAAGTTGAGCGAGTTCAAAACAACAGGCAAAGGTTGTGTCAATGAACTAATGGTAGCAAATTCCCATATTTGGGTTGACTAATGTCAAGGTATTGGGCCTATCTGTTGTTAACAATCAATTGGCTTATCGATACCGCCTCTCACGTGCTTTGCGTATTAAAATGTTCCAAACATAGACGATGACCGACTTTATAGGGCTATTGAATGATACGGGTTAGATTAACTAAACGGGTTTGGTATTTGTCAAAGCAAAATATTCACCTATACAGATTTTAAATTGGTTTTAGTATGGTTTAAAGCGTTATTAAAATATTTTAAAAAGTTGTTTGTGAAATTTAAAACTGCATGATGATTTTTGTTATGATAGGCTAATACGATCTCGGATTAAATAAGCAGTTCCTTAACAATTCTCTAAAAAGTTTTACCAGTAAAATTATACCAATTGAGCTTGATAGATTAAAAAAAATGTGTTGGGATTATTAGGAATTTTAAATGGTACGCCTTCCCCATTATTCTGAACTTTGGATTTTTCATACAAATTTTAGCAGTAACATCATTTATTTTCTAAATGTTCGATAGTCAAATAAAAATTATTCTTTTCTAGCCATCCTAAAAAAAACTCTGTTTTGAAGTATATGAAACATTCGAAATCAAATAAATGTTTCCAAATTCATCGAACAAATTCAAAGTGGGTTGCGAAATCCGAGATAAATAAAGTTTGAATACAAGTTATGCATTGATTAATGCAATGCAAACACAATTTACAGAACATTCGTATTGGGAAAGTGTTTGTATATAGAATCTCATCTGTTCGGCTAATTTGGGTTTACTTTATTGCTCACCTGGGAATGATGGTTGCGGCAACAGGTAGTTGTTAATGTTGTTCAAGTGGTCTGGCGATAAGAAAGAGGCCACGCGAAGAGTTTCGGCAATAGCAATATCGAAATTACTCGTTCACTTTCGATTTGATGGCCGATAAGGCATTAACAGGTAAGACTCGGTGTTAACACGGGTAAATAAATAATAAAAACACACTTATTTTAGGCGTTTCAAAACAAAACCAAAATCCGTGGATCTTTGTTATTTCGTTTTTTATTTTCTCCTTTTCGTTGTATTTTTTTACGTTTTATGTGTGTCCCGCTTGCTCATTTGGACCGCCTTTCTCGCTCTGTCCGCTTTAACCGGTTTTTTTTGGTTTATGTTTATGCTGCTTCTGATGTTGTTGTTTCCCCGTCTTTTTTTCGCTTGGATGAGAGGAAAATATGCTGCGACTGCAACTAGCAAATTGTCGATTATTTCCAGTCACTTGTTTATTAATTCGAATTGAAAACAAAAAACTTTATAACACCCGCGAGAGAGGTAAACAATATGGAAACTAAATAAAACACACACGCAGGCGCAGAACGAAGCGCAGGAATGCAGGCGAACAGGTGCTAACAATTTTCGGCCGCTGCCTAAAAATCCGCTGTTTACTTTGTTGTTAAGTATCTGCCCTGTTTTTCTTTTCCGCACAGCGACTTGAGTTTTCTTTGGCTTGGCGAGCGCTTTCCGCGCGACGATTCGTTTAATTCAAGTTTTGTTTGCGATTGAACACCTGTTGCGCGTTCGTTTTAGAGGTGGGGAAACATCGATGACAACATTGATGTTATCGATGTTTTTAAAACATCGGTTTCATCGATGTTTGGCGGTAATCATCGATGCTTGTCCATCTCTAGTCTCTCCTCTCTCGTCATGTTAAATTATCGTTTTCCTAACATTAATGTTAGGAAAACGATGATTTAACATTTCTGATGTTTTGATTAGATCTGCCGCAGCACTGCAGAGCGCTGCCCTCTCATGATTGAACGTTTCTAACATTTGAACAAAACTAATTATGGATTGTATGACTATGGCTATGGATTGTAGGATATTGTACGACAGGGCGAAGAAAACATGTGAATTAATAGTAAGAGAAGTCTCGATTGCAATTTTACTCAATTATAATTTAAACCCCTTCCAATCGTTTGTGACACACAAGCTGCAAGCTTTAAAAATACGTTAAAACATTTGTTTTTTATTAGTCAACACTGGCTGACTATCGATATATGCCATTAATTTTCATCGTTGCCGTTCCGTCTCTATTCGCAAAAACAACAATCAGTGACGACATTGCTATTTTTGTTTTGAGTTTCACCACAGCTGCAAAAAATGTCGGATCTCGCTTACCTGGACACGTTGTCGAACAAGGAGCTGCTTGCCAAATGCCTGGAGCACGGCCTACCCGGCGTCCCCGTGACGGGCAGCACACGAAACGTCATCGTGCGCCGGCTGAAAGCTGCGATTTCTGGAACACCGCTGAACAAGAGCAAATCCGCAATTAAGAAGTCGACGCCCAGGCGTGAAACCGTACACGGCAGCCAGATGGCGGCGCCCACGTCGGAGCCAGTGCGTCGTACGCTTGGCCGGAGTGCAGGTCGCATAAATAGCAGCGGTAGCCAGATCACCGAGCAGGGTCGTCGCACCATAGCCTACGGTCTGGACAACACCTCGATCTCTGGAAGGTCCGTGCAGACCACCACCACGGTCTCGGATGTGGGCTCCCAGTCCGAGGACGATGACTACTACATGGTGGATGCACCGGTTGTGAGGTTCCATGCCAAGCAAACGCCACCCAGGGAGGACAAGCAGCTTCGACGCTCTGTTTCGCTCACCAAATCCGGAGTGCTGACCACATCCTACACTCGCGAAGTTGAGCAACCGCAGTACGAGCAGGAGGACATACCACGCAGCCACACCTACGAAAGGCCACGTGTGCCAGCCGCTCCTCTTCACTCACTTCCCACATATGAACCACGCATCGAATCCCCGACGTACAGACGCACAGATTTGGGATTCTCGCGTCCGTTGCTGACCCAAACCAACCTGAACTCCACCAGTTACCAGGAGGCATCGGGATTCAACCCATCGCTCTCGCCCGTTTCACCAAGAAACACGTTCAGCGGCTCGGCCAGGCCTTTTGGTGGCCCAGCACCAGTTCCCGTACTTCCTCGCCAGCGCCAGACTGTTACGGCCGGTGGACACAACTTGGCCCGTGGTCTTCTGGTTCAGCCCACCACCTCAGTGAACACCCTTTATCCGCAACTGAATCAGTTCTACGACCAGCCAGACAACGCAGGCGAACCCATGGACACGGAGAGCGAGTCCGAAGTGGAGGAAGCACCAATCAGGCGAAGCCATATCCCAAAGACACGATCGTCGCCTCTGGCCAGGAAACCTCTTTTGAGACATCAGAATCAGGTGTCGCCCATGTCGCAGTTCCGTGCGCTGGTTGTATCGCTGGATCAAAAATATAATCTCAAGTTCTACTTCATACTAGTAGTGACGGTGATGTTGGCCACAATGGTGTATGTTGTTTTGACACCCAACGCTTAAGTCTAAGCATTTTTAGTTGATAGCATTGGAGCTTTCTGCATTTGGTTTTGGTTACTGCACTCATATTGCATTCAGACATCAGCGAAGATTTTTCATCTAAACTTTACACCTTAAGACTTTACTTTAAATTTCAAAAATGTTCGAAGTTCACAAGAATTCAGTTCAAATTTCCAAGTCTTTAATTGCTTGTTTTCGCATATGGTTTCTTTTTATACATAATTAGAAAAATGTACTACATTATAATTATTGTATTTTATTAAATAAACTAATTAAATATAAGTGCTCAGTGTGTGTTGTTGCGATTTGTGTGTGTGGTACTTTCTGACAACGGACCAGGGGATTTTTATGATTTATGCTAATATTTACACGCCATTCAAATGAACAAAACAAACAGTGTAAAATCGTCAAGGGGTATTAGGGATCGCGGCTAGGACATCACAAAGCGAATGGCTGCTAGAGGCGCTGGCTGACTAATTGAAGTGGAACTTGAACTGGAACGGCGACCCGTGCTGGAAGTGGCCGAACGGATGTTCGCCATGGAAGCCACCGCGCTGGTTGGCCTCGGGATCCAGAGGATCCTCGCCGTTGTCGAACTGGCGACGCTTCTCTGGGTCGGTGAGAACCTCCTTGGCGGCGGCGATGTCGATAAACTTCTTCTCGGCCACCTTCTTCTCCTCGTCCCGGAAGTTGTCCGGATGCCACTTCTGCGCCGCCTTCCTGTACGCCTTGACAATCTCCTGTTTGTTGGCGTTGCGCTTAACGCCTAATATCTTATAGTAATCCCTGCGCTCCGACTGCTTCTGCAGCTTCTTGGCCCGCTGTATGCCCTCTTTCGCGCGGTTGTTGCTCTCGTCCAGGTCGAGTGCCGCCTGGTAGGAGTGTATGGCATCGTCGTACATCTCGGAGCCCAGCAGCGCCTCCGCCCGATCGCAGTAGACCTGAGCATCCTTCATAATATCCAGCGCCTCCTTGCACTGCTGCAAGGCCTTGCCAAACTGCTCGTCGTTCGTGTAGCAATTGCAGAGCACCTTGTGCCCCTCGTACCGGATCATCGTCTCCTCCGGTTCATTCCGGAGCACCGCCTCTCCGGCGGATATGCACTCGGCAAACTGCTTCTCCTCGCGCGCCTGCTCTGCGTTTACCAGCTGCTTCTCCACCTTGCGCAGCTTCTTATAGAAAGGGAAGCAGAGCTTGTGCTCCGGATCGAACTTCAGGCACTCGCGGATCTCCTTCAAGGCATTTGTGGCATGGCCAATGGTGTACAGCAGCTGGGCGATGTTGTAGTGACCCTCAGTGCTGTCCTGGGTGAGTCGATTCACCTGACGCAGGTCTGAAATGGCGGACAGTGGATCGTTGACTGCAATGTAGGCATCTGAGCGAGCCTGGCGGAAGGGCACGGCCCACGGCGAGATCTCAAGCAGCTGTGTGATCATGGAAATGGCGTTTTGGTGGTCCCTATGCCCAATTAACTGCTGCACTAGCTGCCATTGCTCCTGGGCGGGGGCCAAGCGGGAGTAGTGCTCTAGCACCAGCCCGTTGTTGGGCTCCTCTTGAAGCACTTGCTCAAAGTCCAAGATCGCTTGTTGGTACTCGCCGCTCTTCATGTGCACCACACCACGCTGAATCCGGGCGGCCGTGAAATCAGGTTTCAGTTCCAAAACCCTACTGAAGTCCTGGACGGCAAATCGCGTCTTGCCCAGCGCCAAATAGACGGTGCCTCGCTTAAAAAGCGTCAGGTAGTTGTTGGCATCACCCTCTGCAGGGAAAATATTGCGTTAAATCAAAGTAGTGGGTTAAAAACAGGTTGAAAATACCCGTGTCACCAGTGTCTAGTTAAGTAAGGTTAAAGCAACATATTAATTTAAACTAAAAATACTTGAACAATGTTGATCTTTTAAAGCAATTTAAAGTCAAAGCTTGGACATCTATTTGGCTTTCTATATGGACTTAAGTCTCGTGTTTGCCTTGGTAACTGCCCTAAACTACTGCTTAATATGGCATTGCATTAATTAAAGCATAAAATTCGGTGATTTCTATTACTAAGAAAAGAATTGTTAATTTCCCTTTCTAGAAATTAATGTTAAGGGATGAACACTAATTTAAATATCTTAAAGCATTCCAGCACGGGTATTTCCACTCTTTTTTGGTCATTTATAATTACCAACAGCCGCATGGTAGTGCGTCAGTGCATCCGACAGCTGTCCACGGGCCAGAAACTCCTTGCCCAGCTCCAGGTGGTTCTCAATGTCCGCCGGACTCGCTGCCGACTCGGCGCCTATGCGAAAAACAATGACGTGTATTAAGGCAGCCTTCATAGATAAGGAATGAGAAAGTACCTTCCAGGAAGAGCTCCAAGAGGAGAAGCAGCAGGCAGGCGGCCAGTTTCTTCTCGCCGCCGCCGACCATTAGTAGGTCACTCAATGGCAGGGCCATGATGATGGGCCTACGTGTACTTAGATGGCCCCACGAAACCTGTGTGGGCGTGATTTGGAGTTGATTCCGAATCGACACGCACGTCAGATCTGTTTGGCGTGGCAGCTGCTAATCTCTACGGTTGCACCCCGCCCCCTCTTCCACTGGCGGCCTTCACTATAACGCGGCTATTATGGATTTTGCGTCCGTTTTTGGTCAACTGTCGGCACCGTCTGCTCTTTGATTATCTAAACTCTGAATCGGTCAGCAGTTGCTATTAAGTTTCTTAAATGATATGGAGCGCACTGGTGGTCTCTGTGGGCATTGCTGCCACTGCTAGTTTGGAATCGCGACCGCTGGGCACTAAACTTTTCGCTTATAAATATTATAAACTAAAAACTGACGTGTTCACGTTCTCTAGGGATGGACGATTGATAGCCGCAGGTGATACTTCTCACGAATACTTAACAGAGTCACGATTCGCAACTATCGTATGTGGGCGGTGACAGTGGTGGCAAAGATTTAGCGACAATTTGGCCAGAACTAGTTTACCTTATTTAACTTATACGGAAATATTATTTTTTCCTTATAATGAACGTAACCTTTTGTTTTAACAGATTTTAATTTTAAGCAAATTAAGAAAGTTTTTATAGAGTTGCAATGTTTCAGTGAAAATTGTAAAACTTTGAAAATAAATGCATTTCTATTTACAAATTTGACTATGAGCATCAGCTTTCCGGTTTTGTTGTCGATAATTTTTAAAACATAAGTAATCGATAGCTGCCGCCAATTTTAAACAAAAAGCCAGTTACAGCTTTGGTCAAATGAATGTTTATTTGGAACATGAATTTGGTAAATATATCTGCAGCTACATATATTAAAATCCATAGTACATTGATATTTTAAATATTCTTATACATTTTCAGTAATTATTGTAAATACTTCTCGGTTTTCATTAGGTAATAAATGCATTTCTTGAGCATTAAAAGTTTGCCGTAAAGCTTAAATTGCTCTTTTAACTTATGTTTTGTTTTCATTGCTTATTGCTTATCGCTAAATGGTCAAGTGGAATAGATGTGCTTGAGCGTGACAGGCGTTTTGTGAGATATATAGATAGAAAGAGATATGGGCTTAAGAGGCTTAAGGACTGGCTGAAGAAATGGAGATAGATATATGGGAAATATAGTAATATTTGCCTAAGGAGTATTCTAAATAAAGCTCGAAGCACATAGACGATCCAAAGATCGCTGTGTGCATATGGTCTAGTGTTTGGATGGAAGGAATGGTCTGTGTAGGTTCGAAATCTGTAGTTTCCGAGAGCTACGCTCCCAATGCAACACAGTTTCGACGTTGTGCTTGGCTAAAACAGGAATCTTTGCTGTTCCACTTGGTTAGGAAATCACAATGTTGATCAGATCATTTTTATCCAAATCAGAGTGCGGCTGAGAGGCGTGAGACTTTTGCATGTGAGCTGGAAATGATTTATATCTTTTTAGAACTAGTTTGCTTTGTGGTTTTGTATACATACTTTTAAGCTTAACGTGCGTGACAAATCGTTCTTGACAGACATCGCATTTGTAGTAGGTTTTGCCGGTATGAACCCGCTGATGCAGCCGCAAAGACTTCTCGAACAGATATGCCCTACCGCAAACATTACACTTGAAGTTCTTCTCCAAGACTGAAAAAATGGGATATTATATGTTTCAAAAGTTGTATTTTTGAATAAAACAATCATGATTTTTTTAAAAATGTTTTCTGCACAAAAATTTGTATTTTAAATTTATAAAAACAAGCATGCGTTATTGGGTTAAATAATATTGGATTTTATCTTTGGTTACATTTCGCTCGGTGCTTCAAGACATTCGGTTAGATATATATATATATATATTTATTGACTTACCTTCATGGCTCAATCGGTGCTGTTTTAGCACATACTTTAGGGCGAAGGCTTTGCCGCAGACATCACAAACATTCTCGTGCTTCTCGTGCGTCTTGATGTGCCACTTCATGTCCTGTGCGCGCTTGAACCGCTTGGAGCACTGCGGACAGGCGTGCGGCCGATCCTTCTCTGAGTGCACGGCGGAATGCCGCTCCAGCGCCGACTTCATGTTGAACCTCTGTGTGCAGCTGCCGCACTGGAAGAGTCCGGAATACTGGCGCTCCCGCTTCTGCTGCAGCACCCGCTTATTGTTGGCGATCACCGGAGCTCCAGGACGCTGCAGGTGCTCCACGGACATGTGGTGGATCAGTTCCTGCTCGCTGGAAAAGGGCTGGCGGCACAGCATGCATTCGCTCCGCTCGATGGCAGTGAGGTTCTCCCTATGCCGCTCCAGCATGTGGATCCGCTTCTCGGCATATGATGCGAAAACTGTGGAATCGGGGGAGACAAGGTTTAATGGTGATCGATGGATTTTCAAAGGGTGGCTAGTCGTAGGGTGTCATGAAATAGAAACATATGCACTCGGAAAAACAGATCGTTCTGAAATTATAAGTCGGCTTAGGATATCATGATTCTGATATAATATTAAAAGTTATTAATAAAAATTCAACAAATGCAGAAGAAATAAATTCTTAGACTTTTTTAAATCAATAACGAAGTTAAAAGTTCAATTTATACAGTTTGTTAAGTATAAAGGATAGGTAAGTATTATCACAGTTTAAAAATTTGTATTGCTTTTAAGTTTTTTTTCGTCGACTCCGTAATTTAAGGACGATTTTGTATATATGATTGCATGCTGCCCTCCAGGATTTCGTACGGTGGATGGAGTTGGTTATGTAGTGGTTGGTTGGTTTGATGGGTTAAAACGCTAATCAAGTGGCTAAAAGGAAATCAAAGTACAAAACGTTTGCTGTTCCTTAATCGCATGCGATGGCTAAAAAGGTGTACAAAAAGAGCTGGGTTAGCCATTATGTTTACCGTTGCTTTAGGCTTGACTAACACACTATTAGAGGCGGCAGAAGCAGCCGGACTTGGCTCAGTGTCTATGGTCTTAAAGCGCTTGTTGGATGTGAGAATGTTCGGTGATGCGACAGATTGATATATGATTAATGCTCATGTTTATGAATAGTTTAAGTAACCCCTTTGGAAGGAGCGGAAGATCCTGTATAGCTGGCCACGAATTGGAGCATGTCCATTTTTACTCACCCTCCGTGCAATTTGCACATTTATAGGGCTTCTCTCCGCCGTGCTGTCTAAAGATGTGCCAACGAAGGGTCTTCAGATGAATAAAGGCTACGGAGATATAATAAAGAGTGGTCTAAAATTAATTACAAAAGAAGAAAACGTATACATAGTAGCTAGGTAAGTCAATATTCGGTATTAAAAAAAACAAATCAGAAAGATTGTCTTAAGTTTAAGATTAAAAGAATGTCATTATAAAACTTTGAGCTAAAAAGTTAGCATGTTCATAGTTTGGGATATTGAATTTTAGAATTGGGCTATTATAAAAGAAGTGTCTTTTACTCATACTTTTTCCACAGAAGCCGCAGTGCTCGCTTTTCCTGGAGCTGGTGCCTGTGTGGGTGGCCTCGTGGCACATGAGGTGGCGCTGGCTGATGAAGAGCCGTTCGCAGCCGCTGTGCCGGCACTTGAACTGGCGGTCCGGATTGTGCCACTTCATGTGGTAGTTGAGGCTCTTGCGGGTGTAAAAGCGCTTCTCGCACAGCCCGCACTCGAAGTCCGTCTCCGAATGGTACTTTTCGACGTGGTGGCGCAGATTGTGTCGATCGCCGTACTTCTTGCCGCACACCTCGCAGGCGTGTTGCTTCTCCACGTGGCTGTTTTTCAAGTGCACGGTCCTCGAAGCGGCATCCTGGAAGCAGGCCTCGCACTCCGGACAGTTGTACGGCTGCTCCGAATCATGGCTGGCGTTGATGTGCTCTAGCAAAAGTTGTTGCAGCTGGTAGCTTTCCTGCGGCCTCAGGCAGAACTTGCAGGCATAGCTAATGGTCAGTTCCGGAGTGGCAGACTCCTCCGGCGGTTGCTCCACCTCCTCCTCTTCGATGTCTACGGCATCCACGAAAATTTCTGTGGGGTCAGTGGCAGTGTTTGGTTGTGTTTCGGCTGAAACCGTCGTTGTTGGTTTGGTTGTTTCTGTTCCCCTTTGATCCTCTGCTTGGTCCAAGTCATCCTGGTGCTCTTCCTCCAGGCTGCTGGCATCGATCTTGTCGTAAATATTTGACAACTTCAACTGCGCCTCCTGGCAAGCCACTCGGAATGCGTTTATCGAGCAGAACTTTGTAAAGCAGTCGCTGCAGATCTTCTGGGGCAATCCATCATTAGGTGATATCTGAAATTAGTCGTACTTTGTTGAATTGGCACAGTTTACTTCATTTTCCATTTAATAATTATCAAAATTTGTTATTAACCAATGTAAAAAAGTGTAAGAATGGCCATTGGTAACAGTAATTAAATGAGCAAATGTGAAAACAGAAAAAATTAATTCCTGATCGTTAAATAAACTGTTGAGACTGCATATTTTAGACCCATTCGACGACTGTACCTGTACCAAAAAATCATTAGCCAAAATTACAACAAAAACACAAGTATTGTTTAACTACATTTAATATTTTTTGGTATATTTTTTTTTTTGTTTTGTTGTGTTATTAACCCAAGTGCCTCTTCCAGCTTTGTTTCACAAAGCCTGTGCGCAATTTAATGGCAAATCGTTGCCAACACACAAACTTTCACTTGCGAAAAGTTGCAATTTTCAAAAAGAGGCAGCAACAATCACTCCACACAGTAAAAAAAATATAATGACTACAGTGTTTCAACATATTAATTTGTAACCTTTTCTAGTTTCTCCTTCATATATTTACTTCTACATCTAAAAACATATATACTCAACAAATTTGTTTTCTTTTATTAAATTTAAACTGTGAAACTGAACTACGAAAGTGAAATTTTCTTGGTCTGAGGTGCCATTGTATTCGGTACACTGAACTCACCTTTAGATTCCAATTGACGAACTGCAGGCGTATTTGGGCCATTTCACTTGGCCAGCAGTTGGGATGGTGGAGGTCCAGGAAGTGGCTGTTATTGGTGCCATTCTCGAAGTCGCAAACAAACATGGAAATCGCACAGGTGCGACACGTTTCCATGGCGGCAGCGGCAAACAAAGTGGCCAGCGAAAATGCGACAGGGCATCAGCAATATGCAACGGCAACGGCAATTGCAATGGCAACTGCAACGCCCAAATTCGGTTCGCCAGCCATTCATGTGGTGTAATTATGCAACATTACGAATTACATATGTACGTTGCCTGTTTGCTTGTGCCGAATCGAAAACTAAGGCCAAAACCGCAGCCACATCCCAAATCGCAGTGGCTCGAAAGCATCTGTACGGTGGATATTATTTTCACAAAAAATATTTTTGCACGTTTATTGGATTGGATGCTGTTTGGGGTTGCGACTGGGACTGGGGCACTCAGAAAAGTTTTGTCTGTATCCGGGTGACGACCTCTGTTCCTTCTTGGTCCGTCCTGCTACGTGCTGCCTGCTGCCTATCCAATCCAATCCGTGCTCGCCATCCGACGCAGTTCGAGCTTACGCGAGAACTGACCTTCGTCGAGGAGCAATCTTTTGAAACTTGCAACGTCGAGAGACCTAAATGTACCCCACCGTTCAACCCAGTCAGCTGTTCGGCTTTGTTTGTGTACTTGCGCAAAAGCCCCGTTAACAGCAATAATAAAAGCTTGCGTGCGAAAACTGCAAGCCAACGGTGGCACAGTGAGGCGTATTGTGGTCGAATCACAGAGTTTAGCGAACTCCCCATGCCCCACTTGGCTGTGGCCCACTGTCGATTTAAGCTCGCTCCCCCATACTCTCACTCCTAGTCCCTTGCTCTCTCGTTCGCAAAAGCTTCATTCCCAAAAACTTTAAATCTTACGGATAACGGTTAAGATGGGATGACACTGGGAAAAATTAAGTTAGTCAATTGTAAAATAAAATTTATTTAGACAACCTCTACGGTTAACGTTAAAATGTATATACACAAATCACGGATGGCGTTGTTAAAGTAATTTCATTTTTGTCTAGGAAGTGTTAGACCTCAACTTGGTTCACTTTTGTTTAATGTCTCCTTGCTTTTATCGCTTTATTTTAGATTTAATTTTATCTACAAATTGTTCTTACTTTATGGCTTAAACTTGAAAATTTGTTTGGCGATTTAAAAAAAAATATTACAATATGTTTGAAAAGAAATATAACTTGAATAATTTAGGCAAACATAAAATGTTTCTACATTTATTCTCTGCAAGGAAACGAAAACGGGTCATCAAGGTTTTATGTTATTTTAACGGAAAATAAGCAATTCCAAAGCAGACGAACAAAACTTTGCAACTAAGATTTAAGACTACTTTATGTACAAATTCGGGACTATATTTAACTTACTATCTAGAAATTATCCTAGGCCTAGTGCCGATACTAACTGGGCTGAAGTATGCCCAAAGCTCTCAAACATAACGTGGCCGCGTTAAGCTTGGCTTCCTTTTTGTTATTACATCCTCGTTCCGGCGTGTACGTCTGTCCGTTGATCTCTACGCTGAAAAGGAAGGAGCGGTTGTGGGCAGGACCGATATCCTGGCGAAGCTTGTACTGAGGCGGCGTCCACTTGTTCTTCGAGGTCAGTTCATTGAGCACGCACACGGGATGCTTGTCCTGGGTGACCAGTGGCGTTCCAGCACCCGCCCCTGGTCCTGGTCCCGATCCCGAACCCGTTCCCGCAGGCCCACAGCCTCCGATAGGTCCGGATGCGTTCTTGTTTCTCCGCTGAGCGGCCGACTGTCGCGATGGCGGCGGTTTCAGGTCCTCGCGCGACACCAGGCCACGCTTGTCCAGTTTCACATCCAGCAAAAGTGGCTGCAGGGATCCAGTCTTACATCTGCCCAGCCCCTCGCCCGGTTTCCAGCCCATCTTCTGCAGCAGTGCCATTCCCATGCCACCAGTCACTGGCTTGGTGGAGGTCATTTGGTCCCTGCGCACCCACAGCTGCCGTCCGCTGTTGAGCTCATGGGCCGTCAGCACCTGGGCGCCCGTGCTCCCTGTAAATTGGCCGGGCAGGTGCTTCGAGTTGGCCCACGACGACATGTTTTGCTGCGCGTTGTACATCATTTTCAGCGCCTCAGAATCCCCAGGATTGTCCTAGACGAAAGACAAATAAATTAGCATCAGAAAATAGCATCTTAATAATAAAGTCAGCCTTACCTGCAGGCGGCGAATGGCACTAAGACGCTGGGTAATTATGCTGGAGACGTCCATGGAGGGCGGCGTCATCTCCGGAAATATGGAGGCACTTTGCGCTGGCGTAACCGGCGACGCCGATGGGATGGGCACCTCGGAAACAAAGGGAGCAGCCGCGGTCGGAGAAGGAGCAGGAACTTTTGGATTTAGTAGAGGCGGAGGTACTGGTTGAGGAACAGCGGGTGTAGGGGTTGCAGCTGGTGCAGGAACTACAGGCGCTCCCCCCACCGACTTAAAAGCGGGCTCCTGCTGCTCCTGCAAAGGCATTGACTTGGCAAATACGTTCTTTGGCGTTTCCTTAAACATATTGGTTGCCTGCTTGGCCGGCGGCAGAGAGGGCAGTGGCACCAGCGAATCTTTCCGCTCCACCGGCACCCACGCCTCGTTCATGCGATGAGTCTGGCCCGAGGACACCGGGAATTGCATGGTTATGGCCTTGGTTTGCTCGTCCTGCCGGGCCTGCGCAGGAACCAGCGCCGTGGAGTTCCGTATGTGCATCACAATTGGTTCCCGCTCCTTCAGCTGAAAGGGATGATGAAATGCCTTAGCATTGCCATTTTTGTCCACATCGGAATCTTCGTCAGAACTTAGATCTGACAGCCCGTCGCCGTTGGAGATCTTTTTACAAAAGTCTGTCAGATCTTGAACACTGCGTCCGCCGTAACGCATCTTGACCAGCACCTTGTCCTTTATCTCCGGTGTCATGTTGGCCACGCCGGGTAAAGTACCTCGCTTGAACATGTTAATGGCGTTCTTGCGCGCGATCTCGAGAAGTCGCTTCTTGTCGATTACAAGCTCATGGGAACGTGATCTGGACCTTCGGCTTCTTCGAGAGATAGATTCGCGCGCGTTACGCTTCGGTGAGTCCTTGGGATCATCCTTGCGTTCCTCCTTGCCATCGTAAAAGCTGTTATGCTGTCGACGGCGGCCATTTGAAGCTTTTTCCCGGAGAAAGGACTCCTCGTCGGAGAGTGAGACATCGGAGAGGTCGCGCGCCTGCCGTGAATTGGTCCTGGCAGTGTCCGATCCTCTCGAGCGGTCTGACTCCCGGTGGCCATTGTAAAAGCTATTGTGGGAGCGGACACGTTCCCTTTCTTTCTCACGATCGCGATCCTTGTCCCTTTCATGTCGTTCCCGCTTGACGGTATGGGAATCTGCGTGATTGGTAGAATCCGCAGCGAACCGCTTCCTGTTCTCAGACTTTTCTTTCTCCTTCTCAGCGGGAGCAACTGCCGGTGCAGCCTTTTCCTTGGATTTCTCCCTATCCCTATCCCGATCTCGATCCCGATCCTTTTCCTTGTCCTTGCCGTCTTTGTGTTTGTGCTTGTGCTTCTTTCGCTTGTGCTTGTGCTTGCCGTCCGCTTCAGAGTCGCTGCATTCGCCATCCGACTTGGCCGTCTTTTTCTTTTTAGCCTTCTTTTCCTTTTTCTCCTTCTTGACCTTCTTTTTCTTTTTCAGTAGATTCTTGTCGTCTAAGAGTTCCTCTGGGGGAGCGGCGTTGAACACGCCGAACAGCTCTGCGAGGATCTCGTTGGAGGACTTCACCGGCACGATGTCCTTCTTGTCCTCCGCCGAGATGGAACTCTCGCTGTCATCCGTTTCGTCGGCCTGATCCCTGGTGTTGCTTTTCTCTAGGGCCATTGCCTCCGCCTTGAACTTGGCATTCAGGGCCCGGAGCTTGGCCTCAACTTCGGCGTCCGGTTGCTCGCTCTTCACCTTTATTGGGACCTGCTCCGTAGGACTTGGCTGAGACTCCGTCATTTGGGGCTGCTCCACGCCCGCCGCTTTCTCTGTTTTCTCCGTCATTGCGCTTTCGCTGGCCGTGGCTCCTTCTAGTGTCCATGCATGCCACTGGAATCCCGCCACAGAAACGCAATTATTCTCTTTTGGGGTTTAAATGTTATTTTTTGCACGCCTGGTCAGAAGGGTTTTAATAATAGTGATGGCACTCCCGAAGTTTGCGATGGTTCAGTACGTGCCCATGTTATCGATAGTTTCTCAGGTATAATCATCGACAAGGAAAACCTTTGTTAAAATAGAAACAAAAGACTTCTTTAATATGATTTTAATTTTAAAGAATTTGATATACAATTTTTCTATTTAAATACGAAAAATATGACACGTTTTAAAAATGTTGAATACAAAAATAAGAAGCTGTAGCATTTATTGCCATATATGTATTTATCTAAAAAAAGGCTAGAAAAAATCGAAACCGGCACAGATCTGTCGATAGGCGCACTAACGACCCTGCCTATAAGTGGGCAGTCCCGATTTCTGAAGCGCAGCCAACTTCACCTACGTCGCTGTCACGAACTGCAATTTTTATAAAAAAGGAAAGAAATTGAACATTTTTAAAAGGCGTAGAAAGTGTCAGTGTCGTGGGAGAAACGCCATTTTTAAGCTGCAAACGTAAGTACCCGATGCAGCGGTGATGGAGAAAACCAATTAATGTCAACAGAGTTGCTAATTTCCGTGATTTTGTTCGCCATTTCTTTTTTCGTCGCCTGCGCCATCGTGCTGTTCTGCAACTGTGTTGGTCGATTGTACGTTATTTTTTCTTTTGTGCGCGTTTGTGTGCGTGCGATTAAATTTTCGCCTCGGTTGGTGTGCAATTGAAACAAATTGTTAATTGTCCGACGAAATTCCCCAGGAGGCGTACGTCGCCATCTCAACACATAATTGATTTTTAGCTCACGCATTCTTAACCAGCCAAACGCAATTGCGGCCCCTTATTCAAGCGGCAAATAGGAAAAACCAAGTAGCGGACCGAAAATGACGTCTTTGGAGCAGAATCGTTTGCAAAATTTTAAAAACAAAGGGAAAGACCAGGATGTAAGTGATTCAAGGTTTGAGTATCCTGTGCCAAAATTAATGTATTGGTTAACTTTCAGGAAATGCGTCGACGTCGCAACGAAGTGACCGTGGAGCTGCGAAAGAACAAGCGCGAAGAGACCATCCTGAAGCGGCGCAATGTACCCAATCTGGACTCGAACACAGACGAGGACGAGCAGTTGCCCACGTCTATCAACCTGAAGAAGCTTGCCCAGGCAGCCGCCGACGCCAGCAAGCCGGAGCAACAGCTGGCCGCCGTCCAGGCTGCCCGCAAGCTGCTGTCCTCGGACAAGAATCCACCCATCAACGATCTGATCCAGAGCGACATTCTGCCCATCCTGGTGGAGTGCCTCAAACAACACAATCACACAATGCTCCAGTTCGAGGCCGCCTGGGCCCTGACCAACATTGCCTCCGGCACCTCGGACCAGACAAATCAGGTGAGTTTAGCCTCCTCTCGCTGCCTTTTCTTTGTTCTAATGCAGGGTAATCCTCTAGGTTGTTGCCGCCGGCGCCGTGCCACTCTTTCTTCAACTTCTCAACTCGCCCGCTCCAAATGTCTGCGAACAAGCCGTCTGGGCCTTGGGCAACATCATTGGCGATGGGCCTTTGCTACGAGACTTTGTCATCAAGCACGGCGTTGTCCAGCCACTGCTGTCGTTCATCAAGCCTGACATCCCCATCTCATTCTTGCGCAATGTGACCTGGGTGATTGTGAATTTGTGCCGCAACAAGGATCCGCCGCCACCGGCAGCAACCATCCACGAGATCCTGCCCGCACTCAACGTGCTTATCCATCACACCGACACGAATATTCTGGTGGACACAGTCTGGGCTATTAGCTATCTGACTGATGGTGGCAACGAGCAAATCCAGATGGTCATCGAGAGCGGGGTGGTGCCCAAGCTGATACCGCTGCTGGGCAACAACGAGGTCAAGGTGCAGACCGCTGCGCTCCGAGCCGTTGGCAATATTGTGACTGGATCCGATGAGCAGACACAGGTTGTGCTCAACTACGACGCGCTCTCCTACTTCCCGGCCCTGCTGTCGCATCCCAAGGAGAAGATCCGCAAGGAGGCCGTCTGGTTCCTTTCCAACATCACCGCAGGCAACCAGTCGCAGGTACAGGCCGTTATCAACGTGGGCCTGCTGCCCAAAATCATCGATAACCTAAGCAAGGGCGAGTTCCAGACACAGAAGGAGGCCGCCTGGGCCATCAGCAATCTGACCATTAGCGGCAACAGGGAACAGGTCTTCACCCTGATCAAGGAGGGCGTCATTCCGCCCTTCTGTGATCTCCTATCGTGCCAGGATACGCAAGTTATCAATGTAAGTAAATTTTTCTTAGTTTAAAGTTTTCAATTGACCTTTGTGTAATTGGATAATTTTTGGCTAAGTATGTCTTTAGATTCCAACCGAATTAAACATCATTTTTAACTTTCACACAGGTTGTTCTTGATGGCCTGAACAACATGCTCAAAGTGGCCGACTCGCATGTGGAGGCTGTGGCCAACTTTATTGAGGAATGCGAAGGTCTGGCCAAAATCGAACGCCTGCAGAGCCACGAGAACGTTGAAATTTACAAATTAGCTTATGAAATCATCGATCAATACTTTACGGATGAGGTGAGTGAATAGATTTTTAATAGATTTTAGAATAGATTTTTAAACAATTTTTCTTTTACAGGGCGAACAGACTAACATGGCACCCAGTTCCGACGGCACGCAATACAACTTCGACCCGAATGCTGATAAACTACCAATGAACTCATTCAACTTTTAACGATCCAATCCGGAGGCAGACGAAGTAGCAGTGAAGTGAAAACCAAACGCGTGCAACACACATAATTTGGCGTTTATACGTACACAATCCATTGTGTATGAAAACCCGACGAGCCGCCAACCAATTCACATAATAATAGCATTATAATTTGTCCACCACACAGCAGCAATTAGACAGCCGGGTTCTTTTTAGGAACAAGGATAGGAACTCCGGAGGATACACAACGGAAAATCCGCTGCAGCCGTTTTAGCTTCTCTCAATTCTGTGTTATCAAAATTACAAACTCCAGACATACACACACTTGTGAGTGTGTGGCTGTGCAATGCAAGGACTAATCCGATTGGGGTGACTCTGCTAAAGATCATCCAAAATATATACACACAGGAATGAACAAAATTTTTAAAACCAATGTAGAACTATTTGATTTATATGGAATAATTTAAATATGTACGCTTTTGATTTGTAATTGAAATTACATATGTATACATTTCTAACAAGAAAACGATAAAAGCAAAAGACCACTCATGGTTTTGTTTCCAGGCAGATAAGTTAAGCGGAAAACTAAAAGCTCAAGTGTGTCTGGCCGTTTCGCGTTTCAACGCGAGGCATTCGAGGTGTCGGCCGAGTTGCTGCTAATTAGCATTTATTTGAGCTAGTGCGTCACTTGAGCACGTTTCCTATTAATGCGCAATTGCCGAGTTCCTCAATAGGGCAGCTAAAAAAACAGTATGCGCATGGAAACAGATCAAATGCTTATAAACAATCGGATCACCCACACAAGTGGGAGGGATTACAAAAGATGTTGGGCGTTTTCCAATTGGTGTATCATCAAACGGAAAGTCTTCAAATTGATGACTAATCTGCAAGTCATCCGATTTTCTTATCGTACGGTGAGTACAGCAGTTAAATATTTTTCTTAAAATCAATCACTTTTACTAATGAACACATTGCGTTCGCAGCTAAAAAATTTAAAATTAAGCAGTAGGAACGGAACTTAATACTTTTTAAATTAATTTACAAGACTTCAAAAGTCTGGCGGCTGTTTTTTGAAATAATGTTACATTTACATGGTGCTTACATACGATCTACATGAACTTTTACAATTTCTACAAATTCTACGTTTTCTAACACTAAAATTAGAGATCACAAAACATATTTTTTCAACATCTAGAATAAGTGTATTAAATATTTATACATTTTTGAAATTTTTTGTGTGATAAGTTTTATTTTTTACTGTATACACATGTTACACACATATTTTTGTACATCTATTTTATTTTCTATTCGCCAGATACTTGACCAATTGCTCATCGCTAATATCGCGTGACTCCCAAAAACAAACTAAAAATTACGGGCTATTTATAGATATATTGCAGTTGTATTTGTAGCGCTGCATTTAATTCAGACACTTGCTTCCGTCAACATTTAGCTGCGGAAATTGGCACACTCTTCTCAAGGTCAAGGATGTTTTGCGGCAGCTAATGAACTTCCCTTCGGGCAAAAACCTGTTCCTATAAAGTTATATGTACAAAATTGTTAAATATACAAATGTATGATTTTAGCACATTTTTAGAAAGTCAAGAGCGAATTGCATTTACATTTGTATATACATATATGTATGTACATGTATTTCCTGAACGTGTTAAATTAAACACGTTGGTGAATAACCCTCTCAGCTGTTTGACATTGCGGGTGTGTTGGTGCTCCCCTCTCTCTTTTCTCTCTCGCAAAGCTTTGGGCCTCTTGTTGTTTAGCGTTTCATACTAGATTTTATTTTGTGATTGCCAGCCAACGAGTTTGGACGCATAAATTATATCGCATCGTCCGTGGAATTTTTGTCGCACAAACAACAGAATGTCATCCGCCGCCGTTCAGCCACCCCCGCCCGTGCCCCCACCACCGCCAACGGCTGCAGCCTCCGCCGGAAAGGGTCTCCACTCCAAGTTGTACAATGGGATGATTGGGGCCGCCGACAAATTTGTGCCCGCCAAGCTGCGCCCACTGTGGATGCATCCAGCTGGTAGGTCCAACAATCTTGGAACCTTTCCGAATCCCCTCCTGATATGAATTTTATTTCCAGGTCCTAAGACGATATTCTTCTGGGCACCCGTGTTCAAATGGGTAAGTTGACAGAAACCAGAAGGGATTACATAACTCGGACGACGGGCGACCTTCGCTAATTTTCATTATCGCACACACACATTCATTCGCAATAAATCCGAAACGACGGTAGACAAATCTGTGCGCAGGTGCCATTAAATGAAATTATTTAATTACTTCGAGCGAACTGCGCCTGATAACTGCCCGCGTTCGTGTATGTGAGGAGATTGCGTTTGTTAATTTCAATCGTGGAAACCCTATAGAGAAAGGTTCAGAATCCAGCTTGGAAAGCTTCAATAATTTAACACTTTGATATTCAGTATCTGTTTTAACAGCCATTTTTCAAAACGTATTTTATTTGTTTATGTTTGATAACAGCATTGCCAAAAATAAATGCCTAGATATACGATGATCTATATCATATTTTGAAAGTTAGTGTTATCTTAAGGTAGCGCTATACATTATAGAGTGTTTCGATTTCAATCAAACTTGACGTGTTGTCGTAGAAGCATATTTAAAGGCAATCTGCCAAGTTTAATATTAAAACAACAGTCAGGGCATTCTCAATTTCATTTTCGTACATTCTGTACCTAATTTGCAAAAATAATAACATTAAATGCATTGCAATAAGAAAGGCATAGATAATATTCTTCCCATTTAAGTGACTTTTTTATCATCATATATAAAATGTTTTTCGGATAGACAAACTGGTATGCCCAAACTGAACTCCACTCCTGGAATTTAACAGATCTCTAAGGATATTCTATACATTTTTGTAACCACATTTTGTATTTCTTCCAGGGACTCGTTGCCGCCGGTCTAAGTGACTTGGCCCGTCCGGCCGACTCGATCTCCGTGTCTGGATGTGCCGCCCTGGCCGCGACGGGCATCATCTGGTCACGCTACTCGCTGGTGATCATACCCAAGAACTACAGCCTGTTCGCCGTGAATCTCTTCGTGGGCATCACCCAGGTGGTGCAGTTGGCCCGAGCCTACCACTATCATCATGAGCAGGAGAAGCTGAAGAAGGAGCAGCCGGCGGCGCAGAATTAAAAACATTTCGAATTGAATACTGGTGCTGTCCCCTATCTATAGACTTAGATCGAAATGTTATGTACATACTACAAATCCCACAACGCACAACGTAAACGAAAGGATTAAGAGGAGCTGTGTTCGCAGATCCGGCATCTGCGTTTTACAATCTGTTTACCATTATTATTTATGGTCTATCGCCTTATCGACGTGATTCGTATTACTTAAGTTGTAACTGTGGAGGCTTTGCGTATAGTTTTATGAATACGAGAGTTATTGGACATTTTGTGATTGTCAACAAATAAACCAATATATTGTAAGACTGTAGAATATACTAATTCGGACTTGGTTTTAATTCATGGATTGGAATGAAAAGTAGTACAACCCTATAGTTTTCAGTGTGTTGAAACTAAAAATGAAAATATTAATTAAATAATTGAGAATTTTTTAAAAAATAAATTGTTTTCCTCAGGCTAAGGATATTTTTTCATGGTTGCTTAAAATACTATTGAATTCAATATGCATTCTTTTAATTTATTTACATTAGAACTATATATATATATTGCTAAGCAATACAGAAAATAAACTGAATTCAATTTCTCTTTTAGTAATATCGTTACTTAGGGCAAATAGATGCGATTCTAAAACCGGATTAGTTTGCATAACGCATACGCCATGTGCACGTTTATTGAGCGATACATGTGTTTTTCACAATTAGTCTTACGAACACAAATTAATTATAAGCAAATATTAACTTTTATGTAAATGTCTCTCCTAGGGCAATTTAAACTAGCGAATTTTGCCAATAACTCTTATACGATTAGCAATGTTTAGCTGGCTCTTATAGATTTTTATGGCTAATATAAAATGTGAAAAGAGGGGCTGGCGCTGTTGATAGTGCTGGTGATAAGAGGAGCTCTTAGCTAATAATACTAGAGAAACATAAACATATGTGTATGGACCCCGGACTTTTCTGAAAGCACAGTTGTCGATTGGCGCTTCGTTGGAGCTGTTGTGCCTCAGGCTTTAATAGGCAATTTACTTCCCAGTTGGAAGAGAGCTACTTTATCGCATCACCAATCGACAGACATTCTAAGGCTTCTAATCAAACACCAATATATGTAGCTTGATTAAAGGTAGGTTATAATAAGATCCCTCACGATTCTTTATAACACTGATTGTTTGGATATTGGCGTAGCAAGGAACTGTCTTCTGGTCGAAATGTCTGCCAATCCTACACCTCCACCTCCGCCTTCCACTGCCCCAGCTTCCGCCGGAAAGGGTCTTCATTCCAGGGCATACAATAGCCTTATTGGAGCCTGTGACAAATATGTGCCCGCCAAGATGCGACCCTTATGGATGCACCCAGCAGGTGATATTAGTATTAGCGCGTTAATAATAAAGATTTTAAAGCTTCTTTCACCCTAGGTCCCAAGACAATATTCTTCTGGGCTCCTCTCGTTAAATGGGTAAGTTGGTGTTATGTAACTATGAGCCCAGCGTCCTTAGCCAATTTTCATTATCACCAAGCTGATAAAAAAAATCTGTGGGCGCATATTGTGTTTTATTATTGTTTGTTTATTTCTCAGCAAGTTTTTCAACTTCGCGATAAATTAATAAATATATTTTTTTCCCCCACGCGCGAGTTTCTGATAACTAAATGAGTGTGCGGTTTTTGTGTCCTATGGAATATTTCATAATATTTTTTTGTTTTGTCTGGGATAGAACTACATGCCGTAGAGATTTGCAGTCAATGGGGGGACTTACCCTATACTATCGTCATGATCTTACTAATCTCCGTACTCATTCAATTTCATACTACAGAGCCTCGTTATCGCTGGGCTCAGTGATTTGACGCGTCCTGCGGACATGATTTCACCCAATGGATGTCTAGCCTTGGGGGCAACGAACCTCATATGGACCCGGTACTCCCTGGTCATCATTCCCAAGAACTACAGCCTATTCGCGGTGAATCTCTTCGTGAGTCTGACGCAGCTCTTCCAACTGGGACGGGCCTACAACTACAGGTGGGAGCAGTCAAAGCTGGAGAAGTCTGGCGAGACAGTACCAGCCATTGAAGCTAGTTTGAAATAGTTAAATGTATGCATTTTGGTAGGCTTATTTAAAATAAAAAAAAGTTTTTTTCTAGTCTGATTGTAGTAAAATGATTTTAAATTTATGTGGCTTAACGGTAAATAAGTTATCTGAAAAGAACATACAATTCAACAATTTAAAGTCTCTAAAGAATGATTATATATTTTCAGTCATTTTCAAAAATCTTTTTTAAATTATTCAAAAACATTTTTTGATAAAAACCATTCAAATGTTTTAATAAAACCCGCCAAGATCAGCTGATGCTAAAAAAGGCTAAATACTCATCACTAAAGTGTTGGTTGAATCGATAACTCTAAATAAAACCCGGCAGTTTCTTGGTTGTTAGTTTATCTTATAAATTAAAATAAATTAAACGAGTGTTTAATAAAATGGCATTAGTAGACTATGGTAACAGCAGTTCCTCAGCCTCTGAAGATGAAGAATCCACTAAAATCACTCAAACCACATCGTTAAACATTCTCAAAAGGTAAAGTGGAATATTGAAATACATTTAGATTTCTACATTTGAACCGCTAAAGACCTGCCCTGCCCACAGCTGCAGCTCTGTTGGGTCCCAAGAAACCGAAACCCGAGGATTTCGTCGACGACGTAGTGGATGATCCTGCTCTACATGGCGGTCGCATCCGCAGCTTCAAGCATGAGCGAGGAAATTGGGCCACCTACGTCTATGTCCCGGCAACTGCCTGTGCCGAGCAGCTGGAGGAGTTCCAAGCCGAGGCTATTGCCCAATTGGGGTCCCACCTGGAACTGCAGCCCAATGAGTCACTTCATCTGAGTCTGAGTCGCACGGTGGTGCTCCAATACCATCAGATAGATGAGTTCTCCCGATCCCTGCAAGCGGCGCTTAACAGCTCCACAAGGTGAGTCCATGCTTCTTAACGAGTACCTTAAACTGCATGTTCGGTATCCTTTGATTTTAGCTTCGCTGCCACTTTGCAAGGTCTGCGAATCTATACAAATGAAGAGCGAACCAGGACATTCATTGCAGCCCCTTTGGATGCAGCTTTTACGGAAAAGATGTCTGCTATCCTGCAGCCCATAGACCAGGTGATGCTCGACTATCGATTGCAGCAGTTCTATGTTCCGGCTTCGTTCCATGTCAGCCTCCTTTGGTGCGTGGGCGATCGGGAGCACCTACTAAACAGCAAGCTGAAGGAACTAAACGAGCTCCTGGAAGATCAGGACACTCTTTCTCTGGCCATCACAGAAGTGCACTTGAAGTGTGGCAACAAGGACTTTACTTACATGCTAAAATAGATAGCGGATAAAGTAAACATATTCTTCAAATCCTTTCATTCGATTATATCTAAACAGTCGCTTTTTTATAATTTATGAAAGCTTTTTATAGTTTCTTTATAGTTGTATTCAAGTTAATTAAATAAAGAAGCGAGTTAAACAATTTCTTTGTATGGATATAGATTGCATTATTTATAGAGTAGATATGTCATTTGGTTCATCAATTATAAACCAAGCTTAAAGATGAATAGTTTCTTGTTTACCTTTTAGTTGGGACCCTTCTTTTTGTTGCCATTTCCTTGCTTGGCAGCCTGTGCCTGCTCCTCCACCAAACGCTCCTCTTCCAGCTCCAAAAACCGTTGACGACGGCGTCCCAGTGGCGTCTTTGACCACCAGGACTCGAAGGCTTCCTCCTCCTCGCGGTAGACAGGATCACGCGAGCTAAAGGCAGAGAAAATTGTTATGGATTGTATTTCTTAGTACACCATACAATACCCACCACAGGACATTTATAAGCTCGGCATTGGTGAGCGGCTGAGTGCGAAGCTGCAGCTTTCGCTTGCAGGTCATCACCTCCTTAAGGCAGGCATCGATGGCTCCAATGGTGTAGCCATCGGATATCTTGGCCATGGCGCTGGTGTCCAGATTGGAGATGCCACCAGAGTAATCGCTGCAAGGAGAGGGAGTTTTATTAAGTTGATTTACAACTCCAAAATCACCAAAAGCACATACTGCAGCAATGTTTTCCAGGCATGCGACATGGCTCCATAGTCCGGTCGTGGAATATAGATAAAACGATTGTAGACGGACTGCAGCAGCTTTTGGTCCGCCTCCCAGGGAAGATTTGAGGTGCCGACGAAAATGACCCGATCCTCGGGCGCTATGTTTTTGATCATCTTGGGCAGATCTTTCTTCAAGCGCTTGGGATCCGTGCGATCCGTCTTCGGAATTTTCTTCATGAACGGTCGCTCTGCATCGCCCATGTAGATGACGGCAGGCTGGAGCAGCCGGGACACTTTCAGGACCAAGTGAATTAGCATTATGAGGCCCGATTTGCCCGGATACTTTCCCACAATATTAGCCGGGGTCAGATCGAACAGCACGGCGCCCACCTCTATGCAAATGGCATGGAGCAGGGCCTTTTTCCCAGATCCCCTGGGTCCGGCCAGCAGGATGGAGCGTATGAGTGGTGTGCAATTGTGGATGGCTTCCGAGCCGAGCGGCAGGATGCAGTACTCGGTGAGGATCTGGCGGATGTCGCCCGGTGAGGGATTCGTGCCATCCCGAGCGGTCAGCGCCTTGTCGCCCAGGAACTGCTTCATCCTCAGCTCCGGGTGTTTCCGAATAATGCCATTCGTGACCAGTTCCTCGTACAGCGACTCCGTGGTGCGGTCCGGCGTGAGATCCTTCTCCTTTTTCTTTTTGCTCTTCTTGCCGGAGCGTCGAGTCTTTTTGCTGCTCTTCTTAACCTTCTTTCCGACCGCCGTCTGCAGCAGTTCGATCTCCTGGCGCATCACTTCGTCGACGGCACGCCGGAACTCCAGCTCCACCTCCTGGTACTTGTCGCTGTAGATCATGTCCTCGTAGGCCGCCTGGCTCAGCACCCCCGTCTCATCTTTGTCGCGCCAGGTATCGTTAAAGCTGGCGGAATAACACAAATATTTAATAAATAGTAAGTCATCTTTAAAAGAAAAAGTAAAAAATAGTAGTAGATTTGCATTTTTTGAGTTTTATGCGTTGCGCAGCGTCCTCCAAGCTTTCGTAAAAATTACTCATACGACCCGTACGACAGTTAGAATCTATTTTTGATTCAAGGCAACAGTAGTATTAGTTTTGAGCCCAATGACCAGACCATTAAACACATTTTTTCCAAAAGTAAAGCGCATACAATTATATAATATTTGGACCCAATTTATGTTCACAAATACACATATTACCCAAAGAAAACTTAAACGGTGATGATTTAAATTCCTGATTTGCTAGATATTTTAAATATAACACTCAAAATATTCGGGTAATTTAAATGTGTCATAGTAGCTTAAAACTTTAACCCTATTTTTTATTAAAGATTTAATACACTCATTTTAAGTCTCCTTAAAAGAATTCAATAAATAAGAAGAAATTGTAAAATACAAAAAAAATATTTTTAACATTACAATTAAACTACAATACAATAGAAATATTTTCAATAAATAAATAATCCCTGTGTGCTTAATCCTTATTTAACTTAATTGGTTCCTTTTGTACTTACAGATCGATTTCAGCGCGAATGTCTGGCAGGCAGACGGATGGCGCCGGCTGGAAGCTGACCTCCTCCTCCTGGTTTTCGTTGACGTTAAGGTCACCGCTGCGCGCCGGCGATTTCGACTTGTCCTTCGTCTTCCGCGACTCCTTGGAGGAGCGTGCTGACGAGCGGCTGTGCTCGCTCTCCGTGCCGGGTCTGCTGAAGATGTGCAGGGAGCCACCCTGATCCTCGGAGGGAAAGTCGGGCAGCTTGCCCGTCTTGTCGTAGCAATCCTTCACCCAGGCCCGGATCTCGTCGGCGATGTCCTCTTTCATGCTGGCGCCGTGCTTGGCCCGGATCTCCTCCTGTAAGGCTCGTTGTCGCTCCTCAAACTGTTCTCCGTAAAGGGCTTGCGCCTGGTAGCGCTTCTCGTTGTGCTGCAGCTTCTCCAGCTTTTCGGCCCGTTCCTTGACCACCGCCGCCGGCGGCGGGAGCATGCCAATCAGGATCATCTCCTCCATCTTGCGGCGACGTGTGATCCGCCTGGCTGTGTGGCCACGCCACATTTTCTGGATCTTCATGGCGGCCAAGAGACCGGAGTCACTGCGCTCCTTTTCGCTCCGCTCCTCCGACTTACCCTTCTCCTTGAGTATTCTAATCTCCTTCATGAAGTGGGCACGCAAACGTCCCTGACGCGCACGCTCGTGCATCTGCAGCATTCGAATGGCCTCGATCTCGGTGGTCACCGTCTCCTCCAGCTCGTGCTCCTCCAGCCAGCCCAGTTTCACCAGGATCTCCTGCATTGTCTTCTTGCGGAACTCCAATTCCTGCTGCCGCTCGCGAAGGAAGTAGCGGGGAATGCGCAGCTCCGTCTCCATGGGTGTCAGCCGCAGACGCTCCACCACCTCGTCGTTGTAGCTGAACTCCATCAGATCAATGTTCACGAGATCGTGCTTCAGCTCAACCACACGACCCAGACAGGCGTCCAACAATTTGCGTACCAACTGACGCTTCTGGGGCTGGATCATCTATGGAAAATCCAGCAATGAATGACTAGTTTATATAAATTTAAAATGGACCCTCTCATCAATGCTTAAATTCGTATACCCACATTATCGTAAACATCCTCCAGGCGATTGCTCAGACAGATATAGCGCAGATAAAACTCGTACAGACTCGACTGCAGCAGGGCCTTGGCATCCGCATCGGCGGCGACGGAGCCGACTGCGGCATTCATGGTGGCCACCGTTGTCTCCACATCCTGGTGCTGCCTCTCGTAGTCAATGGTGGACAGCAGCTCGCATTCATGCTGGGATTGGTGCCAGATATCGTTGAAATAAGTGCTGGACATGCTGATAAGCGATTCTTCAATGCAAACTGAAACCCTTTTTTTTGATTATAGCCAAACAGGATCGTTGCCACGCTCGTTTTGCAGTTGCCAAGGAGCTTGTTTGTCTTACAAGGGTGGAAACATTACAAGAACAGTACTCTTATAGCAGTTTTTTTTACACATATAGCAGAATATAATACATTTGGTATTCAGGAGTTGCCCTCGAGAACAATAATAAATATGTTTACAAATATATTACATGGAATTCGCTTAGGGGTTACATAGTCCAATGGGTATAATGCCTGGAATTAGCTTAATTATAAATTCCTTTATATGGTTTCCTCGAATCTTGCTTTTACAGTATATAAGTTTATGGGCAAGCAAATAGTTCTACGGAAAACCTACAATTTTGTATTGGAATTGAATGCAGGGTCGATTAGTAAATGTATTAGGGACATACATATGTAGTTAATAAATAGTTAACAATATAATTGTAGCTAGTCAATACGTTTTAAATGTTATCCGTGGAACAGTACTTGATCATCGATTTGGTGTGCTTAAATTGGATGCCACTAGTAGCGGCCAGGACCTCTTGGATAAATGTCTGGGAGTTATGGATGGTGGTGCCGCCAAGAATCACCCTATATCCGGCGTTGTTCAGCTGGTGCACGGCCAAGGCCTCCTCGTAGGTGGCTCCTCCAATGATGAAGACCACCACCTCCTGGGGTGGTCGTCGGAATGGCACAAGCTCCGAATTAATGGCCGGGAAGAGGGGATCCAGTTCGCGACCCTTGAAAACGTCCTCGAGGGTTTCCTTCAGTAGTGGCGTGTGCTGGGTGAAGACATTCTCTACGCCCTTGAGGCCCTTGATCAGATTGCGGGTCAGTTTTACGGCATCGGTGATCCGCACCATGTTAAACAGATCCCCCTGACGCACATGCGTTCCAGCATACTCGATCAGAGAGGGCACAACAGCCGCTCGTCCCCCGCGCGTTTTGATGATCTGCAACAGTCCAGATGTGTCGCAGTTGGCGTGCCGCTCGTACCGCAGCGCGTATAAGGCCACCAGTTTGAGAGCATCCTCGACAGATACCCGTTCGTCCGCAATCAGTTTTTTGATGCGCTGCAGTTGGGCCGAGTGCTCAGCCTTACAGGCGATCTCTTGCTCCAGCTCGGAAACCTCAAACAGATTCCGCTTGTTGCTCAGCCCCGAAAGTTCGCCAATCACGCACAGATGCTTCTGCACGGTGCCAGACATCTTCTTGAACTGCGGATACGACTCGATGAAGTTCTTCATGTCCGCTATGCTCTCAACCTTCTTGTGGTCGTTGGCCTTGCGCTGGAACTCCTCCATCAGTTGCTTGATGGTTGACCCAATTTCGCCATAGTTGGCGTACATATTGTTGCCGTAGAACTCATCCTGATCGCCGGATAACACCAGCTCTTTGAAGTCCTTCGGTACGTTGGGTCGATTGGAGAGATCCACCCGGTTGTTCTTGATGTGCAACAACTCATGGACCATGGCCTGGTAGGTCCACTGATGCAGCAGCGGCGTCACAGGGTCATCTCGGCGGTCGAGCACGAGCAGCAATGGTGGAGCAGCGCCGTCCATATTGGACCGAAAGTCGAACAGAGACGACTCCTTAGTGATCTGCTCGTAGATAAGCTTGGCCAGGAGCTGAGCTGCCTGGGAACCGGCACGGTACCGGATGACTGGGTTCAGTTTCAGGGACAGAAGGACCGCTGTGATTCCCTGCATGCTGCGGGTCAGTGCATCAGGCAGCCAATTAAGATTCGCCATGCAGTTGGGTATGCTCAAGGAGAACAAATTGGGGTTGACACAGAGGAAGTCCGCATACAGCTCCTTTACCTCCCGCACCGACTCTGATTCATCGCACTCGGCCAAATACTTGATGTCCGTGCGGGGAATGATGTTGCTGAAATCTAATAGGGGATTTAGCACACATAGGGGAGATTTTATTACCCACTTACAAATGTAGTAGGCGCTATATTTGGGGTTCCGCAGCTCGTTGGCCAGAAGCTGAATGTTCTGCTTGGTGGGCCGGATGAAGACGATGCATTTGAGGTACTTTAACCGCTCGTTGGACCTTCCGGAGTCCAGGCGTTCGAACAGGTAGACCTCCCGCTGCAGCATGTCCGACTGGCTAAAGGCCATCGAAATTATACTCGTCTGCAAATGATGTGGATTTTCAGTATGTTTGGTCTCATATGGCAAGGAATTTTTGGCTTCTACTCACCGTTTCCTTGTCCAGCAGAATGATTTTCATGCCCGGCCCCGATTCGGTGCACATTTTCTCAATGTACAGCTTTATGCCGCTTATCATATTCATTATTGCTAACTAATTTACTGCAAAAATAAAAAAATATGTTTTTTTCGCAAACAGATGGGATAGAGATGTGCTGCTTTCGATTCTTTTGTGATAACAGCGATTCGATTATAGTGGTGGCAGTCTAGCAAGTATTTCTTTAAAATAGCTATTTAATAAACCGGCCAAGAAGCAGTTATGAATTGTGATAGCGTTAATTTTCATTAAAATAAAATGTTATTGTATATTAACAGCTTAGCAAATATTCTGTTAATTTAGTTATTTTGAAGTTAAAAATAAAATATTTGTATATATTAACTCTTCTTTACTTTCGTAGCCGAATATGCTTATTAAAAGCTGCGCTCACCACTGACCAGCAATCGATAAGGCGCCGATATACATAAACGATAGATCGAGTGCCGAGCAGTTATCAATCTGAAAGCACTCAGCAGTCGGCCAGAAATTCTGGCATATATTTTTGGATTCAAATTTTGATGGCTACCATGCAGGTGCACTGTTGAAAACCAACAATACACAAGAGTACGAGCGAGCGAAGATCTAGACCCGATGGAGATGCAACTGGGAGCGATGCTGCATGTGTACAAGGGGGAGTACGGACTGCCGTCCATTGATTTTGAATGTTTACGTGCGCTGGTGAGTTCCGTTGCATCACACGGCGGCCAACACGCCTGTTTTGCCCATTATCGCTATCTCTGAAGAAATTGCCTCGTCCCCGATGACAGTGCCTCCTGCGATTCACCCGCTGTCCCATGGACGTACAGACCAGCTCCAATCCACTGCGCTCGGGAGCCGGGAAACTGCCCTACTTGCAGATCGGCAACCAGAAGTTCGCGGGCTACAGGCAAATCAAACGCGTGCTGGATCTCGAGGTGAGTGCGCAAAACAATGCCGGGTGAACAAACTGCGTGGTCTATTTATAGGTTCATTTTGCATGGGTTTTATTATAACAATCACTCTTCCAGGGTTACCCGATCGATGCGCATTTAAGCACCAAACAAAAGCATTTGTCCACCGCCTACGCCAACTGGGTGTTCACCAATCTGCACGCCTACTACCACTACTTCCTGTACGGAGAGCCCCACAACTTCGACACGACCACGCGGGGTCTCTATGCCAAGCGCACGCCATTCCCCTTTAACTTTTATTATCCTTCATCCTACCAGAGAGAAGCCTGCGACGTGGTCCAGGTGATGGCCGGCTTCGATGTGAACGACAAGTTGGACAAGCACGAAGGCGACTATGTGAGTGCATTGGGTCGGCTACTTTTGTAGTAAACAGCTTGGTGATTTATTCTAAATAGTTAAAACTGGTTATCAAACTGTAAATCAATAATAGTACAAGTATTTAGAACTTCTCCCTAACATCCAATTAATTATTAAGCCAGAAAGATTCTCTAAATTTCATGAATATTAATTAGTTAATTTTCGTTAAAAAAATATTTTTATGATATTTCACCAATCAACTAACTTATTGCATTTGGAATTGACAAAAATGTTTAGTATTTCATCACTATATGGTTAGGTGATGAAATATACGTTAGTGTTACTACTAAGTAACATATAATGACCAATTATATATAATGTTTTCATTTGCTTATGATCCCTTTTACTTTTCAGCTCGTCGTCAATGCCAAAAAGGTGGTGAACCTGCTGTCTCGAAAGTTGGGCCGCAAGGTGTGGTTCTTTGGCGACACCTACAGCGAGTTCGATGCCATTGTGTACAGCTATCTGGCCATCATATTCAAAATAGCACTGCCCAACAATCCACTGCAGAATCACATTAAGGGCTGCCAGAACCTGGTGAACTTCATCAACCGCATCACAAAGGATATATTCCGCAATGAGGGCTACAGTTCCGTCAAGCTCACAAAGACGCCCAGTGGCACGGAGGCGAGTCTGACGGCCTCGGAGCGAAAGTTCATGGATTCCGAGCTGAACACCAAAATTGTGGCCGGCGTGGGAGCCGTCTTGGCCATGGGAGCATTTGCAGCATGGCGCGGCATTTACAACCAGGTGGGCACCGCTGGCTGAATTAAGTAGATCTAAACTCTTAACTGTCTGGAGCTTATTCGATAGTTTTGGGTCAATGTCTTTGTTTGGCTCCAGACACTCTTGTAGGCACGCAACAAGTGCAGATGCCAAATTCTCAGTTAATTGCAATTTCCGATTGCTTCATCCCTTGCAGCTAACAACGCGCTCCTCGACGGACTACGATGGCATAGATTACGAGGATGACGAGCTGGAGGAGGGCCTAGACTAATCGCGCCTCTGCAACGATATCTATGTGTAGTATATATTTCAAAATACAATGAGGGAATGAAGCACAAAAACTGTCCAACCTGAAAAGTTTGCGTAAACACAAGAGGGGCTCGGCCTTTTTGGCTATAAGTCTTTGGGTCGAAAAGAAATCTTGAGATTATCTGGCAAAAGTTCGCTTACATGTATGTAATTTTTATGGTACTCATTCGGCAGGGAAACAACATTATTTGAATAGACTTTTCATTTTCCGAACGCGGGATCCGATAACTTACAGAATTGACTAAAGATTTCTCTTCACTCCCAAGATTTTTCTTGCAAACCGATCTGCTCTAATATGCATATTCGATATATGTATTATAGTTCGAATTCGTTTTTAAAATGTCTTGTATAAAATAGTATTTTAAAGTCATCAGAGCGTAATAAAAAGAATAACTTAGATGCTGTTGTTATGGAAAATGGACCCAAAACTTCTTCCAATAAAAATCAGTATCCTTCGATTGGAGTTGTTTTTGGTTTATTACACACTAGTCTTAAACGTAGATTTCGAATAGGGGTCAATACGATAGAGATGTTAGAGTCTACAATGGAATTGGTAGATGAATGAGGGGTAACCATTGCACTCATGTCTTAAGTGCATCCTGCAGCTTTCGCCGCGCCACACCGACTCGGTCTTCCTGCTTGCGTATATCGTCCTCCGAGATGATCACCGCGTGCATGAGCGGCTGTTCGGGATTCATAAACGCCATGGCATTCTTGGTCAAGTCAGCCTTCGTGGAACTCTGGCCGTGAACGCCGGCATTGAGCATGTGCAGCGCCGTGGCCACCGACTGGAGGACGGTCTGTTCGTTGACATTTGGGCCAACGGTGCGTATGGTCTTGGGCAGTGAGATGTCGTCCAGCTCCTCGCCGTTGTCATGGCAGGCGCGCAGTCGTTCCAGACGCTTCTCCCAGAACAGCTGCTTTGGTTTCTCCTGGGTGCCATGCTTGGCATCGTGCTTCACCTTGGCGGGATCCTGAGTGTGGTTGCGGATCGCCGTCACCGGCTGCTTAAAGATCGAGGCAGTTTGTCGGATGGGCGGCACCAGGGAGACATCTGTGCGCAGGGCTCGACTGTAAGGGATTAAAGATTGAAATCATTAATAACGAGTCGGCTTGTAGCTAAATACACCAAACAGTAAAAAAGACAAAACGAAAACTGGGGCTTAAACATGCAGAGATGGTGAACAAAAATCTCAGGTGGCACAGAGCTACAGCTTAGTTTGTTGTGATTAATACGAATTTGGTGGCCAATTGGGTTTTGGTTGCTTTTTGATTTCTTGATTTTTGATTCCGGCAGGCTGTAAACTTTGTTTCCTGGTTTAAGGGTACAGGCAAACAAGACAGAACACGCTGGCATGCAAGAGTCAAGTGCTCCTCCACTTGGCTCTACCTGAGTTCGTTCTGTTGCTGCTGGCGATTGGCCGTTGATGGGGATGCGCATGCTGTTGCCGATGAGGCTGTCACTGGCGGGGGTACGGCTCCTGCTCCTGCTGCAGTGCCCCCTTGACTCCTGGCGAATTTGCGCTTGAGAGCATTGGCCGCCGATCCGGAGGTGGCACCATTGCCACCGCCACTTGCCAAAGGCAGCGGCATGGCGCTGCAGCGGTACAGCGAAATGGAGGGCGAGGGCAGTGCCCGTTGTTGCATCCTGCCGGATTGGAAGTCAGGGCTTCCAATGTCCTGCGGCTTTCCCTCGGCCCTTTTTCCTGTGGGACTGTTGAACGGACACGGCGGTGGGTGGAGATTTGGGTGGGTTAGGTGGATCGTGTGTGTGTGTATGCGTTGGCGTGTGCGTGTGTGTGTATGTTGGTGTATATGTGGATGTAATAACAGAAAGGTAGTGAAAGTGATTAAACGTATATCCGATTCAACAGCGTGCAGTGTTCCAATATTTAGTATATCCCCTTAGTCTATATGTACTACCACTCTTCTTCTTTACCTGTAGTAGAAAACATCCACCTTGTTATTGTTGTTGTTGCTGCTGGCGGTGGTGGTGGTGCTGCTGTTGTTGTTGCTGCTGGCGTTGCTATTGGAGCTGCTGCCCGATTTTCGGACCTCGTCCCGCTGCCATCCTTTTGGCAGGACACTGCAGTCGACGCGTTTGCGTTCGATTGTGACGCTCGGGTTCATTTGCATGTTCGCCGAAGTAAATAATTAACAACAATTCCACAAAAGCAGCGTCTGGGCTGACAGTGTGGCCGTGCTGCGGAAGGACAAATACCCCAAAACGACACCAGTGCTGACAGATACAGATTTAAAAATATTATGAAATTTATTTATAAAGAGAAAGAAAAATAAGGTATATATATATTAATTTTCGTTAGTAATATTTTTTGAAAAACAAGTAGACAGCATTTTGTTGCTTGCGTATTATGTTATGTTTTTCTTTTATTCTTTAGTTCTTAGGCAAATACAAGTCCCTTTAAAAAGTTAACTTCCTCTTAAGAGTTTATTGTGCTCCCCACAATATATTCATATTTTTAATTTATTTATTCTGGCACAGATTGTTTTTATATATTAATAGCTGAAAAGGCTAGATGGCACATGCCTCTGAGTAGCAAATCTTAACTGGTCACACTTCCCAGCACCTGCTCATTTACCAACACTGGAGTGCAATCGAAGAAGAAGCAGCAACAGCAGAAAGGGCGACGTAAGAAATTTCGGAGTTTTCATTCGCATTTACAAGGCCTTAAAACGGAATATGTGAAGCCAGCCCCACAAATCACCGACCCCACTCACCAACTACACGCCACAGTTGCCACCCGCTACGAACCACGCTTGCCGCGAGCAGCAGAACCTGCCAAGGAACCTCCAGCTTGATCCAATTGGGAATTTCACACCTGGGACAAGTGGCAGCTGGTGGGCACAATAGTCATGTCTTCGTCGGCTATTTTCGTGCTGGACGTGAAGGGCAAGGTGCTGATATCGCGCAACTACCGCGGCGACAACATCGACATGGCCGTCATTGACAAATTCATGCCACTGCTGATGGAGCGCGAGGAGGAGGGCCTGATCACCCCGATCCTCCAGACGGCGGAGACCACGTTCGCCTTCATCAAGACCAACAACCTGTACATCGTCTCCACGACGCCGCGCAACAAGAACGTTAACATCGCTCTGGTCTTCGTCTTTCTGCACAAGATCGCCCAGGTGTTCGTGGAGTACTTTAAGGAACTGGAGGAGGAGTCCATCAGGGACAACTTCGTTATCATTTACGAGCTGCTGGACGAGCTGCTCGACTTTGGCTACCCGCAGACCACCGACTCGAAGATCCTGCAGGAGTACATCACGCAGGAGGGCCACAAGCTCGAGCTGCAGCCCCGCATCCCGGTGGCCGTGACCAATGCCGTTTCCTGGCGCTCCGAGGGCATCAAGTACCGCAAGAACGAGGTCTTTCTCGACGTCATCGAGTCTGTTAATCTGCTGGCCAACGCCAATGGCAATGTGCTGCGCAGCGAGATCGTGGGCGCCATCAAGATGCGTGTCTACCTGTCGGGAATGCCCGAACTGCGGCTGGGACTCAACGACAAGGTCCTGTTCGAGAGCACGGGCCGCGGCAAGTCCAAGTCCGTGGAGCTGGAGGACGTCAAGTTCCACCAGTGCGTCCGCCTGTCCCGGTTCGAGAATGATCGCACAATCTCGTTCATTCCGCCGGATGGCGAGTTCGAGCTGATGTCCTATCGTCTGAACACGCATGTAAGTATTTCGATGGGGTATTGTTTGACTATTTAAAATAATAAGCCTTTAAAGTTGACGAAAAGTTTAAAGCAATTCAATAGCTTTGGATTGGGAAATAAGTTCCAGTTAATATTAAAAAGTTTAGTTTAGTGAAGGGAAGTTCTGTTTACGTTAACAATAAAACTTGAAAATGAATTAAAATGTTATAGAGTAAAGATCAGGTTGACAACAAAACGGAATTAACGAAATGTTTATAAACTGAAAGAAACGCAAGTAAAAGTCTAATTGACCTTCTTGGCAGGTCAAACCACTGATATGGATCGAGTCGGTGATCGAGCGGCATGCCCACTCCCGCGTGGAGTACATGATTAAGGCCAAGTCGCAGTTCAAACGGAGATCGACGGCCAACAACGTGGAGATTGTTATACCGGTGCCCGCCGACGCGGACTCGCCCAAGTTCAAGACGACCATTGGCAGTTGTAAGTACGCGCCGGAGCAGAACGCCATCATCTGGACGATCAAATCGTTTCCGGGCGGCAAGGAGTATCTGATGCGGGCCCATTTCGGTCTGCCAAGTGTGGAAAGCGAGGACAATACCGAGGGCAAGCCACCCATTCAGGTGCGCTTCGAGATTCCCTACTTCACCACGTCGGGCATCCAGGTGCGCTACCTAAAGATTATCGAAAAGAGCGGCTACCAGGCGCTGCCGTGGGTGCGTTATATCACGCAAAACGGCGACTACCAGCTTCGTACCAATTGAGAGGAGCACCTCCCGACCCTGCATCATTCCAGCCAAGCTTCAGCGAGTCATCCCTGCAACAGGTAGCTTCACCTCCACCCGCGTTTTTGTCTGCGATGCGTTGCGTTAAGTCAAAAGTATATATTTGTATTCGTATTGTTTCAGTATATGTATATTGTATGTAAATCAAATCTAATAAATTTTAACACCTTTTCATAACACCTGCGCCAGAGTGGGTCAATTTAAATATACACGTGAAGACAGATATGTTAATTAAGGACAAATCGGAATAAAACCAAGTTGATCTTGCTAAGAAAACCCGTAAAGGTCACTAATTTCACAAAATCGACCCACCCAACTTGCACGGATGAGTCATAACAAACGGGTTGGACCCACACAAAAATGTTTGCCTATTGCTTAATCATAATAAATGCACTTTCGATCGAGTCTCTCTGAGTTGTTAGCTTCTTTCTTGCACGCGGAATCTACTTCTCGAAGTTCTTTAGGGGATAGCTGTCCTTGTGCGCCTCAATGTGCCGCTCCAGCTCCTTCTGCTGCTCCACCAGATGATCTGGCATTTCGGCGTACACACCTTCGAACATCTCGCGCCAGTTGGGCTTCAGTTTCTTCTCGGAGGCGGCAATCTGCTTAAGGACCTTTTTCCTGACGTCCTTGATGAATTCGGTTTCCTCGGTCTCGTCGAACCAGCCTTTGTGCACCATGTATCGCTTTAGTTTTGAGATGGGGTGCTCCACCGAGTTCCACACCTCGATCTCCTCTGCGGACCTGTACGCTGTACTGTCGTCGGACGTGGAGTGGTGACCCACTCGATAGGCCAATGCTTCGAACACCAACGGTTTGTTCTCCTTGAGCACATACTCCCTGGCAGCCTTCATCGCATTGTACACTGCAAAGACATCGGTGCCATCCACTCGAATCGTTGCAATTCCATATCCCATTGGTCCACGTCCTGCGATGCCATCGCCTCTGTACTGTTCATTCGAGGGAGTAGAAATGGCAAATCCGTTGTTGCGACTAAAAAAAACAGTTGAATATGAAGAAAAAAAATATAATACATATCTTTAAAAATATATTTTTTTAAATGAAAATTTGTTTACTTTTAAAAATCTACCTAATCTAATTTACCTTCTCAGAAATACATTAAAATTTTTCTTGAAAAATTAAGCATTAAATGAAAACCATTTTTGATAAGATAAAAAGGCTATCTTCTCTGGAATATTTTATCTTATCAAAGTTGTCTCTTGTGTTTTTCAGAATTACCATGGACATTTCGAACAAATACTAGACCTTTATTATATACTGGCTACTCACCAGAAGAGGATTACTGGGCACTCGAGCGTGGCTGCGAAATTGAAGGCGGCATGGGCATCTCCTTCGGATGCAGCTCCCTCCCCGAAGTAGCACACCACACAGGCATCGTTGCCCGGCTTCAGTTTCATGGCATAGGCAGCACCCACGGCCTGTGGCATTTGGGTGGCTGAAAATTCACGACAGGATTAGCTTAATCGCTGGCCGAAGCTAGGCAACAAACTTACACAGCGGACTGGAGATGGTGACAAAGTTGAGCTCCCTGGAGCCGTAGTGCACGGGCATCTGTTTGCCGCGACCCAAGTCGTCCGTGTTGCCATAGCACTGATCGATGAACTGGTCGATGCGGAAGCCACGCCATACCAGTACACCCGCCTCGCGATATTGACCGTATATGAGATCCCGCATTTCCAGGGCGGCGGCACTGCCAATGTGGGAAGCCTCCTCGCCGAAATTGGTCATGTAGAAGGAGATCCTGCCCTGACGCTGGGACTCGTAGAGGATCTTGTCCATGGTGTTGAGCAGCAACATGTCGCGGAACATTTTCTCCACCACCTCACGGCTCAGCTGGGGATCTTGGGTCTCGTCCGCTATGTAGCCATCCCGATCCATTACCCGGTAAATGGGAATCGGCGCATAGTCCTCCGGTTGAATTAGATTCAATTTGCTGACAAATGGAGCCTTTGCTCCGGGAAAATTGCCGAACTCATTCGCAGGCTCGGAGCTGTAGTCCCGCGCAGTTGTGGATATCGTTCCTGCGATCTATCAATAGTGGATTCAAAAGATGACAACAAACCAACCCATCTGATATCTCCTGATACCTACCACTTTCAGGTGCTTTTGTTGTCTGGCCACAGCACCCATCAGATGCACTGACTTTCGCAGGAATGACATAATATATATATTATTTGTATCTAAACTATTAAATGCAACAGGTAAGGTAAAATCCGAAGATTCAGATTCAGCTGCGTGTTTCCCAGCTGATTACGCAATAGATAGCATGGATGTTGATACCATATCGATGTGCCTTTAGCAATCGATTCTTCACTTTTTTTTCTATCGGGATCGGTTTTTAAAATTATGTAGTTGTCCATCTTGTATTGCCTTTGTTCGGATTTCCATATGTAAAACTATTTAAAAATCTAATTAAAAAAAAAAAGAAATCTATTTATTTTACTTTGACTCCAGTTATTTATTGATTAAAAATTATTCCAACTATTAATTTCAATCTTAATATCTCATTTAATTTTTTTTTCCTAAACATTGCCCACCTAATAATTTCTATTTTAATTTCTTAATGATCTGTTTCAAAAGTAAATAATAAAAATATTATATTATTTATATATTTTACAATTATTTACAATAATGACAGTGCATTAACAAGATTTTCCTTTTTAGTTTTAAATACGCGCCAATCAAATATCGATAGAAAAACCAAACCTTTGAACGTATACTTGATATTCGTGACTTGTGCCACCTTTCGTTTTTGACACCATGACACAAGTAGAAGAACCGCAGTTCTGGCAGGCAATTGGAATATTGATCAAAAACTATCATGCCTTGAATAAAAAGATATTCGAAGTGGTAATCACGAAAGTGGAGAAGCAGCAGGATGGACAACTAAGTGATTCCAGCGAAGAGGAACTGGGGAAGTGTCTCAAAGAGGACCCAAACCATCGCACGTGCACTGGCTTTAAGATTGGATTCAAACTGCTGCCCAAGAAACTGCCGGAAAACATCTTGGCCACCGGAACTGTAGGTAGGTGGGGTACGCACTTCATTAGTTAACTCATCATATTCATTTATCATATTGACTTACAGACTTTGCAAATTGTAAATATGAGTGCCAGTTTGCCAGCGATGATATCGAAGACTTTTCGGTGCAGCTTCTTAAGGGAGAGCTTCTACTGAATTCGAAACAGAACCAAAACTGGTTGGAATATGTGTTCAAACCGAAGCTCCTCAGCTGGTCCCAATCGAAACAGGATGAATCAAAAGTGAAGTCATTGGGCTTGGTGAATGTGGAAAAGTACAATGATCTGTACAAGGAGTTGAAACGGAAGCATTCCCAGCGACTTCTTGAGTACTGGAAAACCGCTCAAGAATCCACGGATCCGTTGAAGTTCATCTACGAGGATTTGGCCATCGCCGCTTATCTTATTGTCCTATGGAATCAGACCCAAACAGAGCCCAAAGCTTTCGCGGATTTGGGCTGCGGAAACGGGCTCCTAGTGCATGTCCTCAATGCCGAGGGCTACAAGGGATATGGTTACGATATAAGGAAGCGAAAGCTGTGGTCCCTCTATCCGGAGGACACCCAGCAGAGCCTCATCGAACAGGCAGTGGAGCCCAACAGCTTCCGCTTGGATTTTCCAGATGTAAATTGGTTAATTGGCAATCACTCGGATGAACTGTCTCCCTGGCTTCCGGTTTTGGCTGGCCGTTTGAGCACCAACTACTTCCTACTGCCCTGCTGCCCCTATGAACTTTCGGGAGCCAAGTTCCGCAGACGAAACACCAAGATTAGTGCCTACCAGGACTTTTTCAAATACGTCACCCAGGTCTCTCAGGAGTGTGGCTTTGAGGTTCTACAAGACCGCCTAAAAATACCCAGCACCAAACGCTTGGCTCTGCTGGGAATCAAAAGGAACAGCACCAAGTCCATTGCCGACTTGGAGTACTTTGTCCAAGAGGAGCTAGGAAAGTACAAAACAGGAGAATTGGAAGTCAAACTGCGAGAGAAGGAGGAAAGCGTTCGCAACTGCACGCAGGTGGACAGATCCATCATCGACGCTTTGGTGCTTAAGATTTTTAAGCAGCTCCTCGCCTCCAACGACGATAAATGGTCAGGTCGCCTGCCCATGCGAGAGATTGCCAAGAGCCTCACTAAGGAAGAACTAAGTGGTATTAAATCCGAGTGCGGCGGCATCAAAACTTTGCTGAGAAATAAACACGAGGTATTCGAGTTCTGCGGCGGGGATCTCATTGGGATCAGAACTCCCAAGCCAACAGCTCTCCTCCAATCCCGTCTGACAACCAAAAAGCGTAGTTGCTTCTTCAAGATGCATCACCCACTTGGATGTCCTCTCGAGGATGCAGAGTGCTCCTTCATACACTAACCACGATGGTTTTGTGTGTGGCCCATGCTCACGTTTATTGTTTGGAATATAATATAAAGAAAAGTGAATTTGTTTACCAATCGGCTTGAATAGTGTGTCCATTGTACAAACTAGAATACGAGCGGTGTCCTCTAGCGGGAGCTGTCGCTGCTGTTGCTGCGACGTCGGCGGCGGATGGGCGAGCGGGAGCGACGACGCGGCGAACGCCGGTTCCTCATGGGCGACTGACGACGTCCACCACCGCCACCACCACCTCCTCCTCCGCGATTGTTGAACCGATTGAATGGGGGCGGGGAGCGCCAGCGGTTGTTTTGCGGACGGCGCATCGGAGGTGAGGGACGGCGCATGGGTGGCCGCTGTTTGGGTATGACCACCGGCGACACAGTGATTTCCTGGCCGTCGATCTGCCCCCCATCCATGTGCTTCATGGCCGACTCGCAATCCTCGGCGGTGGCGTACTCCACAAAGGCCACACCGCGTCCAAAATTGGGATGATAACGATCTACGGGGAACTCAACGTTCTTCACGTCCCCAAAGCTGCTGAATATCTCGAACACATGGTCCTTGGTGACGTTGCGGGTGAGCCGGCCGACATGAATGCGAACCGGCTTAGGCGTGGGCGAACGGGTGCGGGTGCGCGACCGGGAACGCTCCCTTCGCTTCGGTGGCGGCGTCCTCTCCACAGAGCCACGTCCACGGCGACGTGGCGATCGTGAGCGACTGGCCGAGCGGGAACGCTCGCGCTTAACATTATTGCTTTCGAGGGCGGGCCTATCGGTGGATCCAGCTCGACGGGCGCGGTCACGGGAACGACTGCGCCGCTCGCGATCCCGCTCCGGTTCCTTTCGCGTCTTGCTGCCCGGTCGGGGGGATTTGGAGACGCGCCTGGGCGAACGGGTGCGAGAACGGGAACGGGATCGTGCACTTGGCTTCTCCTTTTCTTTGTCCTTGATGGCAGCTGCGCCGCCACGTCGTCGGTTCTTATCGCTGCGATCCGAGTCGCTGGACGAGGACGAGGAGGAGCTCGAGGAGTCACTGGAGCTGCTCGAGCTGGAGCGCGAGTCTGAGCCGGAGCTGCTGCGCGAAGAGCTGCTGTCCGATGAGCTGAAAAAGTGAATATATGTACTTTAAAATGTATTACCTGTCCCTTAACAAAATAAATGTGTATCTGTAGGTAAATAAACTTATGTGTATCATCAAAACCTGGAAATTTCATTACGTTCTTCAGATTTAACACAAGAATAAGCTAATGTAGAATGCACTGTTTAAAACAATCTTAACAAAATATGGGTATAAACTGTTTTTACTTTGTATCCAGCACATTCGAAACCTTGCATTCAAAAATTTAAGTTCTAAAATTTGAAAACCGTTTTCCCACACAAGATGACCTTTCAAAAATAACCCTTATTTGGAGTGCCAGATGTGGGCCATCTGTCGGGAATACCTTTGCCGGCGACTTACCTGCTTCGGGAGTCGCTGCTGGAGGACGCCGATCCGCGACGCTTGCGTTCGCGGTCCCTGCGCGAGGAGCTGCTGGCCACCGCCTTGCCGTCCTTCTCTTTGGTGTCCTTCTCCTTGTTGTCCTTTTCCTTCTCACCCTCGCCGGCGGGACTTTGGGCACGCGCCCTGTGAGCGGCCGAAAAAAGCGAAATGTTTTAGCCGTTCTGGGAAGTAAATTGCGAGCAAGTACTTACATTTTTGTATTGCTGATTCACTTAACTATCAGTTGTATGGGACAGCACACTCTTAGAAGTGCTAGCCAATATGTTTTTATTAATAAACCCTGTTTTTTTTAATAGGAGTTAATTCCGGGTAGCGTTTTCAGTGAAGATTGGTGTGACCGTGGCACACTGATTAAAACATGCCCCTAAATATGGCAAATATACTAAACCTTATAGAAACAACAAAATGTAACTAAAAATACTTTGACAGATGAATAGGTCTTGTAAACCTTTTTAATCAATACAAGTTCAAACAACTACAGCTTACAAATTAAATTTTTTGGTCACATATGTTTTTGTAAAACATTTAGTGTATTCTTTGGTATTTTCCGGAAACCCTTGGTAATTTTCACCAGTCTCGCCGCGGCCACACTCTTTGTCAGGTCGATCCAAGGTAAACTCCCATAAAGCGTAAAAAGCGAGATACTTTTTCTGCCAGGCAATCCGTACTCGATACCAAGTACTTGTATCTACCGTGTAAAATGAATAGTGCTTGTTTTCGTAACGTACGTATGTAGTGGAATTACATAAAACGCAATTGTTTTAAGGCCAGCACTTTTTATCTGCTGGTGACGAAGTGGTTGTCATTGTGAGTTCATGTCCGTGTGCCTGTATGTGTGTGAACTTGTGTTGATTTTGGACCCCGTGCGGGGGAGCGAGCGAGACAGCAATAGTTGGTGGGGGGCGGAGGGCAGCCACAGAGTTTCGATTTTCCATCCATATCTACACTCGCAGCGAAAAGAGAGCGAGAGAGAGAGAGAGGAGCGGCCCGTCTGGTCTGGGTACATTTTACCACACTGTGTCTTTGTCTGCCGTCGAGTCCGATTCGGGAGCTCCGCGTCTGGTTTGTAATATTATTATTCTGATTATTCCGCATATTTCGCATTTAATACAATACCCCGCCCCCTGATTGGCTGCATTGCCCGTGTGTGTGTGCGTGTGTGTGTGTAAAGTGCAGTTTTGTTTGGGGCAGCCAATGCAAATTAACCTGTGTCTATACCCGAAACTACACAATTTTTAGCCCCATCATCGTGTTTTGAAACGCGAAGCAGCAACGTAATTGCCAAAAACCAGCCAGCCAACAAGCGATTCGTTGGTATATGTATACTATATTCATATAATCAATGTGTGAAAGAAAACGAAACCAGAAAAAGAGCATTGGATGAAGTTGACTGCCATGACTACGCAATAGCAACAACAAGAGTGGCACCCACACACACACACAGCAAGATTTTGCTAGGTGGGTCCTCTCTCTCACTCTCTCCGCCTCTCAGTGCCGCTCTCGGCTGGGGGCTCTCTCTGCTGCTCTGTGTGTGTTTTTGGACTCCATAGAAAAAGCGAATATTTTGTTGTCTGCTTGCTTGTGTGTATATGCGTATATTTTTTATAATTTATTGTTTTAATTTGGAGAGGGCGGAGTGTGACCCCAACTCAAAAGCGTCGAGTATGAATACAAGCTGTAGCTATATAGCTGTACGATCCGAGTTTAGAGTTACGCCACCCTGTGCAATACGTATACACTAAGTTGTGGTCAATATAATTGCTAAAAAACGTATATGTAGTGTTGTTAAAGGAGAGCCTCTTTATAGATATGTTATCGCCTTATTTAGCCTTTTAATCTATGTTTAGAAATGCACTTATCTTATCGGTATAATAATAATAAACACAAACACCCTAATCAAAGAGGGTAATTGTGCTGTGACAAACGTATGAGTGTGGGGGAGCCTCTCAAAAGTTTTATAAAGTTTTCGAAGAACAAAAAAGAATCGGACTTCCGGTTTTCAAAATATATCGTAGCCTACTTTAAGAGACCTCTTTTAGTGATTTCTAATCTGTATGGCACCATTCTTGTCATCAATTGCTTAATAGTTCCAGCATTAAATACTTTTCGTTAAGATTCTAAAATATTGCTAATTCTAAAGTTTTTTTTACTACCAAAAACGCTTTTTTCAATTACCACTAATTTTATGCTTAGAAGATATTTTACTCCACTTCAACAAATACAAGTAACCAAAATTTGGTTGAGATTACAAGCCAAATAATAGTATAAAGCACAATTATTTAAAACCGCAACTGTATATGGAACCACAATTACAACCATTATCGTTATGATAGCCAAGCATTTGTATATTGTACTGCCTGCCTATTTTTACGTCTAATTTGCATTACATTGGTATTAATACTCATTGGCCGCTATTAAAACCAGGCTTTATATATATATATAGACCTATATTTCAGTATTATCCCACATATACATACATTTATTGCTAACCAAACTAAAAAAACCCAAGTAATTAGTTTCTCAACTGAATGTAATAGCAATGTTTTCTTTTACTTTTATTTTCTTTGTTTTAGCATACATACAATATTTTATTGCTGGTTTTGGTGGTAAATTTGCATTGTTAACGGCCGCGGCCAGACGTGCCCCGCTTCTTTAACACACACGTCTCTCAAACGAATACCGATCATCAAGTGTTTTCCCTATTGACTCTCGTATATAGCCACATGTAAAAATCAAATAAAAACCAACAAAGAGCGATACTGATACCGAAAGCAACTAAACCGAAAGTGTATTACCGTGTGTACCACATAAGACTGCCATCTGCCCTTTGCGTTGCCGTGCCGTTGACACTTTTGTATCTGGCTGCATCCGTATCTGTATCTCAATCTCACTGACCAACTACCGCAAGCGCAAATGCAAATGTAATCTGCAAACTGCACACATCTGAACCTCAGCTCAGCTCAACTTTCAAACGTTTTATCCTCGAACTGCCTAAAAAACCAACCAACCTATCAGCCAACCTGAACCACTCAACAAACCAACCTATCAACGGTCTACCGCAACTGGCAAACCGAACGGCTTTAGTTTTTAAGCTTTGTTTTTTTGTAAACCTGTTAAACATACTATCGAAGACTGAAAAGAAGTACCAAGTACGATTAGCAATCCTGTAATTATTTGTATTTGTCCATTGTTCTTCTAATGGTTCCAATACGATCGATCTAACCCATCCATTTATGCTATATACTATACGACAACACGTCTTTGTCACACTGTTTGTTTTACTTTGCACATGTTCGTTTTCTACTTTACGCCTAGTATTTATATTACCTACTTAAAGAGCACACACACCCACAACACAGCCCATGTACGTTAAGTGTAACCCTATTTATCTGTCGCTCTCTTGATCTGGAATCTTTCGATTGTACTAACTGCCCGCCGGGCGATAAGTGATAAGTTTGTAATCAGTCATCCGCCCCTCAACCTCGATCCATCCATTTCCATCCTACCCAAAACCCAAAACCGAAAACCCAAAAACAGAACCACTAATATTGTTTTTGTTCAGTTGACACATTCATGTAAAACACACACATCTAGAGATAAATATATATGTATATATGCGAGGGGCGGCTTAACGATAGGTTATCGTGTTTAACAACTCAAACTGGAAACGCTGGAAGTGTAAAATTTATCGTTACCACTTATCATTGGCTGACGGAGTCGGCGGAGTTAGCTCACATATACACATACATATATACTACCTATGTACTCGTAATTGTTAACTTTATATATATCGTATTTGTATCTGTATCGGCAGCTTTTTCACATACCCCCAATACATGAATTTATATACAATTATATCGTACTTATACCTATAGTTGAAAGACTAACCACGCACGTATCTCATCTCAGTTCCATATAATTGACAACCTATTAAAGCTACACTGTTAAAACAAACTGAAAAATTGTTGCTGTTTTATTTATTACGATTACAACAAATATTTACATATATCCACACATAAACACAACACCCACACGTATATATACATATATATAAATATTTTATTATCCTTGCCTAAGTAAGTATTTTGCCTACTAGTGAAACCATAAATGTTTTGTTATTGAGCATGTTGGCTTGTTGGTTGTTTGCTTTCTGTTCTGGAGCGCGGGTCGGGCTTAGATTATTTCCTCAATAAATAATAAAAAAACACACAAAAAGTAATAAGAATCTCAACATATCAAAAACCATAAAAATCCCGTTTTCGATTAATATCTGATTTGGAGGAATCGAAAAGAACATGCTTAACTTTTTGAAATGAATAAAAAAAACATTCCTAATTTTTACTTGTTATTCAATTTAATTTCTTTATTTTAAATTCCCCAAGAATTCACCAAGGTAAATTCAATTATATTTTGTTCTTAAAGCTTTTGAAAGTAAGAAGGAACATGTTTATCTTATTGCAAAAACTACCCTATTTTTGGGTTAACAATATAAGTTATCCTTATGAATCTAGTGCTCATAAAGCTGAGCAAGTTGCATTTTCGAATTAAAGTAGTTTGAATTCTAATTAGCTTTGATACCTCCAAATATCCACGGATTGCAAACCGAACGGGGCTGCATATTTAAGTGTTCAAGCAGTCACTTTATAAGCAAATCGTCTCGTTTCCTTCTCGTTTTTTGTTCCCGCCCCACAGCTGTGTGAATAAAAGAAAAGCCCAAAGAAAGCTCTCGCCCAGTCGAAAGTCGAATAGCAACATCAGTAGCAGCAGCAGCAGCAGCAGCAACAACCCAAGCAGCGGCAACGCAAGTGCAACTGCAACATGCTCAACTCGAATGCCAGCAGTGGCAATTTGGGCAATGGCAACGGCAACAACAACAACAACAACCATGGGGGCAGCAGCCGGCGTCCCTTTTCCCGCAATTCCTCGTCAGTTCGCTCGCATCGCGGCGGTGGCGGCGGAGTGGGCAGTCGCATGCTCTACTCGCCACACCCACATACGCACGCCCATGCCCAACAGCAGCAGCAACAACAGCAACAGGGCCAGCAGCAGCGGTCCAGCAACAACAACAGCCTTTTGCCTGGCCACAGTCCCTGGTGCAACGTCAATTTGAACGGCGGCAACAGCAATAACAACGGTGGCAACATCAACAATATCAACAACAGCAACAACAACAACAATGTCAATAACAAAGATGCAAACCCGAATTGGTAAGAGCCGAGAGCCGCTTGTGTTTTAGAACCATTTTTCCACCTACTCACTCGAGATCCTCTGCGATCTCGAGTTTATGTTAGCCTTAAGTGACATTGAAAAAAAAGCGAATTTGAAACGTACCCCCTCCGATCCGAACCGCTCCCGAAATCCCCCAAAATCCATCCATGATTAACAAGACATATCCTTGTAACTTCCCCCACGACTAGAACAGTTTATCTACTTTCTATCTCTATCTTTATTACACCTGAACTGAAAACCCGAAAATCGCTTTTAGGCTAAAGGGAGAATTTTGTAATTAATGTCGCGTTCAGTAGTGCAACCAAAAACATTTTAATTGGTCCTAACCGTTGAATTTTCGAAGCACTAAACAAAAAAAAAAAAGCTTGCATCGCCAACTTGATGGCGACACATAATGGATATAGTGTTATACCGTTAATACTTCTCGATCATTTGTAACTCTCTTTCGTTCTCTTGCGTACCGTACATTTTGTGTTTTGTTCCTCGTCAAGATTGGCACCCTTAACCCACACAGTTACCATGCCATACATACTAATTATCGTTGTAACTATCCCTGCATCGACATCGAATACTCCATTACATACTCGTACTCGTACATACACCCACATTATACTATCCAGCAAGAGCTGAGTTTTTCTTTATTTAATGTTTATCGTATGTAAATTCTCTAACCGCTTTTATTACCATATCCTAAATTTGAGCAGTGTGAAGTTACGTAGAAGAAACCGTATTAACTGAATCAGAAACTCTTGATTTCGATTGTAACAACTTAAAGAACGTTCAATGTTTCATAAACTTAAGACCAATCAAACAGTTCCCTAAGAAAATGCATGAAGAGCACTTGAAAATGGCGATCCAAACATATTAAGTAGCAAATTTCTCTTTAGTTTCGTAGTTGTTTCTTTGTCCCAAACGCTTTTTCTTGTTTTTGATTAAAGCGCGCCTAACGGACTTAAGTACTTACCAGCATGCTATCTCTCCCCCTACCCATATCTTTGTCTCTGTCTGGCCCATCAAGAACATCCCCAAGGACCTACCTTAATCGCCAACCTCCTTTTCTTTCCACTGACTTTATATTGTCTGGGTAGTTGGAAATTAGTAGTTTCATTTTATGGGCTATAAGACTATTGAAGCAAGGAATCAGCCGTGGACTTTAGTGAATTTTAATTGATTGGCCAAAACACATCGACGGCGCGAGTCATCGACCAACGACGATTATAAACAATTAAACAATTATAAAGCTAGTCGGGTGGGTAAGTGCTTTTCATGCATCATAGAAACCCGAGATGTTCAACTAAACCATTAGTCAGACGAATACTATGTTTATTAGAATTTTTACAATTGCCGCTCGTAAATTAGATTATTAATGATAATTGTTTGCAAATAAAAATTCTTTACTTTAAAACCGGATTTTCTGACCAAGAAAACCGTGTGCATCATTTAAAAATAGTATAAATTTAATAGTAATAAAAAAATTGTATACGAAAAAAATGTATTGCACTAGACCTATTCTACAAAGGTTTATGTTTTTCAAATTTTATTGACAAAGTTTTCTGTTTGCGGGCGACGATTGTAGCTTGTTGATAAGTGTACACTTCAGTATTAAAATTCTAGGGAATCAATAAATAAATATAGCTCTCTGTTGGATCTTGCTAAATCCTTCATGTCAGAAATTATTAAAATACCTCACTGAAGTAATTCCTTAGATAGGGTTTCCACATTTCCTCGAATTCAAGACCTACCCCCCACCCACAACATTTTAATTTGATCTACAGTTATAATTTTGTTAAATTTCTTTCGTTTTGCGCATAGTGTCGCTTCACGTTTTATGCTATTCGTTAAATTTATACTAAAACTAAAGCAAAAACCAAGATCAAACATAAATGCGATGATAAATATGTGAAATGCAACCGTGAAAAGTGCAAGCCAAGTATGAATTTAGTTACAAAATTTCCTCTTTATCCAAACCGTACCGTAACTAGTTGTAATTTTTTTCGATTTCAACATTTTATGAATGATGCATTTTAGTTGAGTTTCTTGATTGATAGCTAAGTATATTGATGACTATTGATTGATGTATTTTGCTTAACTTTGCGTAGGTCGAGGCGAACCGAGTCGAGTTTTGCAAATGATCAACAAACTCAGCTTAATGTTTTACTTATTTATTTGCATTTTGCACACTGCGGCTTAGAATGTTTGACAAACCAACCTTATAGAAATTCCAAAACCAACCAAAAACCAAAAAGATAATTCAATTAAACAATGAAAACCGACCAATTTACCGAAATAACAGTTAAATCAACTCTTTTTAAATAGCTCGAGCATATCCTTCTCCTTTTGATTTACTCCTTGCTCTATCTCTCTTTCTACTCTCTTCTACTACTGACTGTTTGTGTGTGTGTGTAACTTTAAGCGAGCCACAATAATAACAATTACAACAAGTACAGCATTGTATGGTCATTGTCACACTCTGTTTATCAAGTACTCTTTAATTTGTCGTCTAACTATTGTACAGCTGTGCTTAAAACAATAGCAATTGATATATTTAATTTGTTTTTATAAAGGAAACTTGTCCAAAATCATAAAAAAATTTAATTTTTCACTCACACAGTTGGAAGTTAAGAAATTCCGTTTTTTAATCTTATTGTAAATGTACAAAATGTAAGCAAAAAACGCTTTAAAGCCGTTTTACTTTTTAGAAAAAATTGTGAAGTGTCAAATTTTAAACCGTTTCTAAATAAGTACGTAAACTAAGGTATTTGAAGTTTCGTTAAAGTAACTGCTATTATTTTGAACACATCTGTACGTACATAAATAGTTGTTATTTGATTTCTAGCCAGTTGCAATCGCAGCTTTTGCATCTAGCCCGTAAGAGTTAATACCTACTACGTTACGCTGACACCGGCTTACGTTACGACCAAATTATAACGTTCGGCGCTTAGACACGCCCCTTTTCCCCCACTATCTTGCTGTGCGTGTACATAAGTAACTATACATAGGCCTAAGTACTACTTTATGGTGTGTGCCCAGCTCGATCACGATCTTTTGGATCTCCGTTCTGTTCCATTTCCGTTTCCGTTCTCACCCCGCTAAAAAAAAACAGTAATTCGTAAAAGCTTTTTCACAGGCTGAAGAAAAGCTAAAGCTTTCCTACCGTATCTTACATACGAGTTTTTTTCGTACCAATTTATTTACGTTTTCGGTTTACGTTCTCTTTTGTATAGTTTTGGAGCATGACCAGCACTCTCTATCTCTCTCTCAAATATATATATACGTATCCAATGTATTTCTCTCGTGTTTAGCTAGTGAGAACGGCCTATTACGTTACAGTTGCCTTTTTGCCGTTACGTTAAATTTGAATAGTGTGAAGAATAATGTGCGATTGGCGTTTCGTTGTTTTGATTTCCGTTTCCATTTCGATTTTTGGTAAGCGTAGTGTGCATTAAAACAAAGCGAGCAACAAATAAATAAATAAAATAGCAAACTAACCAAATTTCCACCTAAAATGCATTCAAAACAAAAGAGCAGAATTAAAAAAAAAGGAAAATAGAAAAATCTGCAACGATGTGAAACAAATTAGTACGTACGTATTTGTTTTATACTAAATGTGTGTACATATCGATATTATATATATATATATATCTATATTAAACTAATATCTAATTATTGCATTTTGCCATTTACATATATATTATTTTTATCTTTTTCGTTTTTCTTTCTTCTTCATATAAAAAAAAAACCGAAAACTACTGCAAAATAAAAAATCTATATAAATAACGTATGTGTGTGGCTACCACTCTGCATATATACACCACTACTACTACTACTACCTACTACCTGTACATGTATTATGCATACAAATAACTATATATGGGTTGTGTTTAATACTACCACACACTGCTACTGCATTGATTTGATTGAACAATTTTCAACTGTATCTCGTACAACCGAATATTATACTCTCTATATATACGTATATATGTATTACATATTATCTAAAACAAACTGCAACTGCAAACCTCAAAATCGAAAATCCAGCGATGTACAAACAAGTAATTCTAGCGGAACTTGTATTTATAACAATAGCAAAGCGCATCATCATCACAACAACAGCAACAACAATGGTCACACTCAGAGCCACAGTCACACTAATCACCCCCATTCCCCACACCAAAGCCAACCTCACCACCCCCAATTGCACACCCACCACCACCACCACCCGCATTCGAGTCCACCACAGCAGTATAACAGTTATCGCCAGTACCCACCGCATTCCCCCAACTCCCCACACGGCAATGGTCATTCGAATAGCAACACTAGAAACCCGAGTAATAGTAATCCCCAAGCCAATCAAAGCCAAAACTCCTATCCCAGTTACTACGAGTTGTGTTCGGGAGGCAGTGGATCACAGACCCACACCTATGGATCCATGTCCGTTTCCCTGGTGAGACTGAATCCCGCCCGTTTATGCCTAACGCTAAGTCCTGCCACGCCCCCATCCCAGCGAGTACTGTCCTACAGATCCCCCCGATCCAACTCCAATTCCAGCTCAAACTCCAGTTCCAGTTCCAGTTCCAACGATCAGAATCATTATAATCCACCGCCACGTAGTCAGAATCAGAATCAGAACCAGAACCATCATCCCAACCCACATCAGTACCAGTACCAATACCATCCGCAACACCAGTACCATCCATTGCATAATCCACAACCACAACCACATCCACATCCACACCCACAGCAACAGACTAATCGCCAATCCCTCCCGCTAACACGAACGAATTCAAATTCAACCAACGCAACAACTTTCAATTCAATCAATCCAACAACAAATAGTAATCCTACTGATGTTGTGAATGTAAATTCTTGTACCGATATAATTCCTCATGGGTCTTCGTCTGCGTCTGCGTCGTCGATGCTGCCCCAACAACCACCACAACAACAACAACAACATCAAATTAATAACGCATCCGCACCCATCAATAGCCACAGCCAGGGACAGGGACCAGGCAACTCGCCGAATCTTGGCCACAATCACAACAACCAGCGTGGCTACAACAACAACAACAACAATAACAATAACAGGGGAATCGGTAATGGTAATGGTAATGCCAACGGACCACCCGACTACATGAACTATCGGCGTGGCTTGTGTCCGGCCCTATCTCGGGGGGACTACTCCGGAAATGGAAACGGAAATGGTAACGGAAATGGCAACGGACACGGCCACAACGGACGCCGCTATATGACCGATCATCTGAACAACGCCTCCTCCTCGTCCATGAACGGCCTCATCAATTCCGGACACCACCAGCGCAACTACAACGACAGGAACTTGAATAACGTAAGCGGATCCTCACAACCATATAAGTAAACTCAAAAAGCTTTTAGGATAAATATATTCAGGACCAAACATACATATCATATAGTATCTGGTATAAAAACCTAGATCTGGTGAAACATGGGGATTTCTTACTTTTTATTCTCCTTTTCTTGCTTTCCCGATTTCAACGATCGAATAAGTCTATTGTTTTCATTCCTTCCAGAAAAAAAAAATGTTTGCCAGAAAGTTTGTAATGATTTTTGCAATAGATCTTATATATTTTATGATCCTTAACCTTTTCTTATTTTTTATTTTAAGTAACGAGTTCTAAAATATTTAATGAAATCGAGCGTTAATCATCTTCTAGCACTTTGGAAACTCTGATCAGGGCGGTCCAGACCATCGGGATCGAGCCGAGGGCTCTTCGTACAACTTCATGCGCAACGGAGGCGGCAGCGGAGGAGGCTACGGACGCAATGGCTCGCACTACCAGCACATGGCTTATGGAAACAACAACGGTGCCTCCACATCCTCCGGCGGACCAGGTCTGATGGGAGAGCTACCCTCGGGATCGGGCCTGTCGGGCTCCTCGCTGTCGCTGAACAACGGACCCAACGGACCCCTCAACTCGGACAGTCCGTCGCGCAAGCGTCGCCGCATCTCCGGCAGACCGCAGAACGGTCCGCAGACCCAGCAACGCTGTCTGATGGCTCATGTGAGTTTGAAATCAAAGTGATGAGAAAGATTGCCATTAGACTGCCAGGGGAGTAGGTGCTTTGTATCTTAAAGATCTTTAACAAAGATTGATTTTGATTTGATAAATCCCTTTTGCTTGTCAAATTTATGTGACCGCTATAAGTAGATTTACATGTGTCTGAGCAAGGAACAAAATGAAATGTACTGGGTCAAGGGCCAGCATTACCATTCCCGGTGAAACTTTTTTTCCAACTTAAGACAAATCTGTCCCGGAGTTTTCGCCTTGATGTTGGCAGCAGTAGAGGCTAAGCTTCCAGGAAGGCACTTCCGTACGGATCCCGCTCGAACCTCACCGGAGCGGATGCCATGTGGCGCAATCGGGAGCCGGTCTCCTCCACCACATGGTGGTCAGGACGGAACAGGGAGTCAATTAGGGCGTACAGGCGCCAGTCCGACTGGTATTCCGGGTTGCTCTCAAAGCGTTTGCGTTCGTTTAAATACTTTTTGCGGTAGCTGTTAATGCGCCGGCGAACCTCCTGTGGGTTCAGCTGAATGCCGTGCTGCCGCACGACTTGCGCAATCTTCCGGAATATGGGCAGGTTTTCTGTGTAGGCGGAAATATCGTGAAGGTGCTCGCGCCATAGCTGCACTAGAAACGCCTCCTCCCAGGAGGTGTAGTAGCGCAATTTCCGGTGCTTCTGGTCGTTCATTTTTCGATTTGCAAGAAAATAAGTACCCGACCAGACTTTTCAAAAGTAAAGTCAATAAAAACGAAACTCTTGTATGACGTCTAAAAAGTCTTTGCTTTAGTTGTCAAGAAAGTAATGGATTTAGAAAAGTAATGCTACTTAGCCAGTATATTTTTTATGGAAGTTCACATGAGTGCGAGAAAGATAGGGATAGTACGAATTCGCCGCACAGTTGTTGTTTCCGGAAACATTACATCTGTTAAAAATTGATTGTGCTAGGTTCAATACTGTTGCTGGAGACAATTTCTTTGACCACTTGATTGTCCAAATGAAATAAAGGTACTTTAATTGAGTTATTAAGAGGATATTAACATATTTCAGCAAAAGTATTTTTTTTTTTAAATAAAAAGGTAATTTTTTCTAGCAATCAACATCTAAGTACTACATCGTCTTGCCATATTTGTGTTTTATATTTTTACATTTTTCAATTTTAAAATTTGGGAAAAGTACCGTTAATGGTTAACATGCTTTAAAATACTACAAATACTAAGCAGCTGAACGCATTATGGTCTTAATTAATACATTTTCGATAGCGTACTTTAAATTCGCCGTGTTCGCTACACATTCTAGAACTTTAATGTGTCATCGCAGCCGTAGCAATACTAATTTTTAAATTATAGGAAATAATCACTAAATAGTTGCTTACTAACTTGTTACGCCGTTCCAGATGCAGCAGGGAAGTCCGCCGCTCCGACGGCCGCGTCTGCGCGATGTGGCCACCTCCACGCAGCAGCAACAGCAACAGCAGCAGCAGCAGTACGGCCCACAGGTGCACCATCCCCAGCAGCAGCAGCAGCAGCAGCCGCCCTCGAATTACCACCCAATGCATCACCACTACGTGCCCCAGCAGCAACAGCAGCAGCAGCAGCCGCCCCACATCCAGCGTTCTCCGTGGGATCTGGGCAACAGTGGAGGAGGCGCCGGCGGAGCAGCCTCCAGCAGCTCGGTGGGCCCCATTCTGCAGCAGGTGCAGGCGCCGCCGCAGCCACCGAGCCATCCCCAGCAGCAGTCTAGTCTGGAACAGCAAATCGGTAAGCTGAGCAATTAGTTCAATGAATCTCTGAAATATTTAGGCCAAGTAAACACTAAAAAAAAGCGTTTTTTCGACAGTTTTTTTTTTGTTTTTACGAAATTTATATTAAAATTATTGTGGTAATTTTTGTATTGAACAAAATATTAAGTATTATGGTGAAACCAAACCAAACCAACCTTTTCTTGATTTTATTTAGCGGAGACTGCGATCATCTGCCATAAATTTATACTAATATAATATATAATGTAAACCAAAATTCGTTTTCTTATGCTCATTCATTTGAATTTATGATTCTTGTAGGAATGTGTTATCCGCCGGCACCACCGCAGCCCGCCTCGCTGATGGTGGACCTGAATCTGAACCAGGTGCCCGTGAGCCTGCAGCTTCGTCCCTCGGAGCCCTTCTGGGCCTCCTTCTGCACGTATCCAATACCGGCGCAGGCTAGACTGGCGCCCTGCCACCTGCATGGCGTCTACACGCAGCCCTTCCCCGCCCCGCCTCCCGGACTGGCCGCTCCGCCACCGCTGCAGGTGGCTTCGGTGCCGTCGCAGGCGCAGATGGCAGCCGCCGCAGCGGCCGCCCAGCAGATGATAGCCCAGGCCACGCTGACGGCCCAGCAGCAGCAGCGGGATGTGGTGGCCATTGCGACGGCCAATCTGGGACCCATCGAACCGCCGGGTGCCCACCACCTGGACGGACACCATGGCCCCGGAGGACCCGGCGCCCACGGCCATCCACACGCCCATCCGCATGCCCATCCGCATGCGCATCAGCTGCCGCCCGGCATCCACATCACCCCGCTGAGCGGAGCAGCGGCTGCGGCCGCCACCCACCACCTACATTCCACGGCGGCAGCTGCAGCGGCTGTCGCCGCCCAGGCCAGCGCCCAGATCGGCCCGCAGCAGATCATCATCTCGTCGGACCGCCGCACATTCCCGCCCCACCGCCGCATCCCGCGCTTCTGGCCGGCAAACCACGGCCATCGGCACGTCCTGCCGCCCCAGTCGCTGGCCGCCCACCAAGCTCCGGTCCAGATCCAGGCCACCTCGGGCATCATCAACCCGGGCTTCCTGCTCAACTTCCTGTGAGTTCATGGGTGTTAACCGATCCCTAGGAGTCGCTAATCCCGTCTCTCATCCTCTTGCAGGGCCATGTTCCCGCTGTCGCCGTACAACCAACATGATCTGAGCTCCGGCGACACCAACGAGACGGAGAACTATGAGGCGCTGCTCAGCCTGGCTGAGCGGTTGGGCGAGGCCAAGCCCAGGGGACTCACCCGGAACGAGATCGATCAGTTGCCCAGCTACAAATTCAACCCGGAGGTGCATAACGGTGAGTGGATGAAAAGGTTGAGTAATTTTGGGCCCCTGGTGAAGGATTGAAAGTAGGCAACTCAGATTTTAAACTAAAACCAGGCAATTTCCACTTAAAAGATTTATATACATATATATAATACTCATTCGACAAGTATGTCATACAATCTCTGATATATTTCTAAAATTCAAAGAAATAGACTAGGATTTTCTTTGAAGTCTTCTCTTATTTTTTGATATTACCTGCAATTATTTGCGACATTACGTATACTTAATAAACTTTAAAGTTGGCCCCAAAAAGTAGGCAACTTTTTTTTTTCTTTTATAGGTGATGTACATTTTGTTTATTTTTATTGTTAAATTGACACATTAGAGGTTCCAAAAAATCTAGAAAGCAACAAGAATTGAAGAAATCATTATAATATTGTTACTTTCATTGAATGTTGTGTTGTTAAATCAGTAGAGTTTGTTCCTATCTATGTAGTAATGAAAAGAAGAAACCCTTTTGGGTCTGACATTATTTAGCCAAGTTTAAGTATGTGAAAAATTTACAAAATTATCCTTTCATCCTCCAGGCGATCAGTCATCCTGTGTGGTGTGCATGTGCGACTTCGAGCTGCGTCAACTGCTGCGCGTCCTGCCCTGCTCCCACGAATTCCACGCCAAATGCGTAGACAAATGGCTGCGGGTAAGTGCCTACAAACATGCAGAAATTGAGCTAAAGAATAATCAAATACATCTTGTCGCTCAGTCAAATCGCACTTGCCCGATTTGCCGAGGCAATGCCTCCGACTACTTCGATGGCGCCGATCAGCAGCAACAGGCGCAGGCGAACGCAGGAACGGCAGCCGCCTTGGGCAGCACGTCCGGCGGAAGTGGCGGAGTGACGGGAACATCCGCAGCTGCGGCGGCCACCGCCAATCCCCAGCAGAGCCAAGCGGCCTAAGCCCGTCGTTAGCGTTGTATACACACACTCACACACACACATACACCTCCAGCTTTGGCTTTGCCGGACGATGAGTGGACGAGAGGGAGGAGCTCTTCTTCGGGTTGTGGAAGAAGATTGGTCTGTGGCGGGGAAGCCACCTGCCCACCCGCCATCACTTGATGTTACGCGCAACGAATCCAACTGCCAAACCTGGCCAAGAACACCCACCCGCTCCGCCCCTCGGCCACGCCCTCGCGCAACTCGCCGCCTCTTCAATAGCTTGTCGTAGACATTAGTTTGTATGTGAGCAAAGGTAAACCGTATTTAGGAGTAACCCACATAGGCATACCACCAAGATTTCAACTACAATTAAACAGCGTATATATATTATATATATACTATATATTTGCGTGTATAGAGAAAGTTAAAGCCGTAAAACAAGTGTCTGTATATAAGCCAAGATTTGCACAAAATTCATTATAGATTTTCTTTGCCTTTTCACACTCAAGGATATCCTAAAATCCATTAAATCAACTATAGACGAAAAAACAAATATGTATTCAAATGCGTGGTAGCTGGCTGTCAAAGTCCTCGAAAATGGGTTCAGGATTTAGAAATTCCCAAAAAGAAGATGGTTAAACTTTGAGTGCCTGTTGCCAACTAGAAATTGTATATCTTAAATTGTTGCTGTCCACACGCATACCTATATATAGTTCTATATTATAAAGAATGCCTATTTAAGCAAAGCGGGATATCAGTAATTTGGATTTGTGTTTTCTGCTCTTCAGTTAGGCTTGCATACTTGCTGCTTCCTCTTTGTATTTTATATATTTACTACCATTACCTTTAGTTTTTTAACAGCGTACTATATATCTTTAAACGACATACATTAAAAACCAGCATAAATATAGTGCATTGCATTTTATACTAATTGTACGAACTGAACCCACTGAAGAAGTTCTTCTTCTTGCACTAGCAAACAAAAACAAAAAAAGAAAAAGCAACAAACAAACAAAGATAAAGATATCTTTAGAAAGGAAAAAGAGCGTATATATATATTTTTTTCGTTTCTACTGTTTGAAATTTAGTAACTATAAACGGAAGCAACTAACATTGAAACATATAAGCAATCTTTGAAATCGACTAAACCAGATGAACGGAGGACGATAAGCGTTTCAGCAAATATACTACATATAGATGCATATATACACACCCCACACACCCACTAACTGGAGGAAAACCAAGCATATAAGAATTTAGCATACAGGCATAGAAACATATGTATATTGGTGGGCTTATTAATGTATTTGTAGTAGATGTGTGCGTAATTAAATGCGTAATTAATAATGCAATCGCTATGAGAACACAAATATCGTATTAACGTATCGTAACCGAGACTTTTCCAGGGCCAGCGTGCGTGGGTGGTGACCTCAGCCGCCCACCGACCAGTCCATCCACTTCCGTAGTATTTTTGCCTTTTGAACTGTAACGTCTGTAGCTCTAAATCTAAACACAAGCATTAACTTACATACACACCTTAACCTCCTTCAATGTGACTTGTCTATTAAAATTGCATCAGATGCGAATATTGCGAGTATTGCGAGTACTGCGAGTATCATATATACAGCCATAACACACCCAGATATATAGAGAGTTTCCTTCTGATATATGCGATTCAAGCGAACCTACGTGCACTAGCCTTTAAAGCCGGCGGACGACAGCAAACAATTTTTACCAATATACATGTACAAGTACGAGTACCATACAATAATTATCTATATCTATCTATCTATCGATCAATCGGTATAAACATAACCAATTAACGTGGAACTAAACCAAACGAGAAATGAGAAGAACAAGTAAATTGAAATGATTCCTGCCCTCCATTCGTATTAAAAACCATTGAAACTAACTCAACAACTTTTTATAGCATATATATACTATGGATAGCATTGATTTTTTGTGAGAATGGATATACATAACATTAGTTTAGCCTCTTCGGGAAGGCCATAAGCCGTATCTATTGGGTCATCCGTTGCTTATAGCGAGAGTTTGCAGCACTTTCCCAATCCAGACTTCCTGTGCCCCATCTCTCCGTTCTTAAATCCCTAATAAAGCTATGCAATACTGAAATCTTGATACCTAGTATATGTGTAAAACGTGTGTGTATTTATTATACCCGGTACTCGTAGAGTACCAATTTATAATGTGTTGTGTAGTTCTGCAATGGAATTTAATATACTCTTTAAAAAAATAAAAAAGTTTTTATCAATTAAACCATGTCCGTTAGTCCGTCCGTTGAAACTTCTGTACGTTGGGGTCTTAAGAAGCAATAGAAAAGAGGTTTACCATGTAGTTTTTGAAAACCTTTTAGAATAAATCAACTACAAATCTTCATTTCGCCCCTTGTAAATCGGAAAAAAAACTACAGTTTTGAAAATTGATAAAAGTACTTGACTCCAATATCTTTTTTGTTTTTGGAACAGGACAGTGAGTACCGGGTATCCCTTAGTCGGACCACTCGACTATAAAGTTCTTTCTTGTTTTTAATCTATATAAATGGTATTTCCAAAAGACCATTGTAAAGGTGTTGTGCTTTTCTAGAATTTTATTAGTAGGAACATCAACTGAATGATAAACGAAAACCCAAATAAAGTTTATTTTTTGTCACAATAACAGAACGTTATGATAAAAGCAAATAACTATATATATAGAATATATTATATACATGAATTGAATACCTTTTATACGTGCACTGACATAATTACTTACGAGTATATGTAAAAAATTCAATCAACCAAGCTAAGCAGAAAAGAAACTTTAATCAATTACTTATTTTAATCCGGTTTCGATAATTTTACGCTATTTAGTTTGTTCTATACCTCTACGTCTATCCTGAACTAACAGCACTAATACTAGGTGTTTCCATCGAATAGTTTTTCTTCTACCTACCTTCTGGTTTATTATTTTCCAAACAATTTACAAAAATCAAAAGCTTATCATAAAAATATATTTATAGTAACAAAACAAAAAACAAAAAAAAAAAACCAGAAAAAACACAAACAAAAAAATTATAAAGTTTTGCTGTGATGTACGTTATATATATTTAATTACATAAAATGCAATAAAATTTAAAACATATAATGCGTAATTCCAAATTATTACAACAAAACAAAATAAAAGAAAAACCAAAAATAAAAAAAAAATCAGAGAATGATTATGAAATAATAAAACATTTTACGCATGAGAATTTCTCCAAAACAAAAAAAATATGTACGACATACTATAACATCTACACTTGTCTAGAACTTATGCAATTTTAAATGTGACTATTATTTTACAATTTTGTAGACAAGAACCGAGACACTCTCTTCTAGTACTTGTAAATCAGTTAACCATAGTATTGAACAAACGTTTTTCAGTGGCATTGTAACGGTGAGCGGGCGTTTTTAATGTTAATTGCAATTATTTCAATTTTCGGTTTTGTATTAACTCGCAAAATTTCAATAAAATTCAATGAACGTCAATAAAATGTAATGCGTTTTTAATATATTTTTGGGGAAAGGGTAAAAAGAGGACGTTGATTAAAGAACAGCAAAAGAGGTTATTCCAAACTTTTATAATATTCATTATTGTCTATAAATGTATGTCAATCGGCGTAGAGCTTTAAATTTCCTTTATTCAACTTTTTCCCAAAAATCTACAAATGATAAGTTTACAAACTCCGAAGCAATTGAACTATAATAACACACTTAAAACACAAAGTTGTAACAGGAAGTGACCCAACCTTCACACATAGAGCATATGTACACTAAAATATGCTCTATTTATTAAAAAAGTTGTGAAATCTATTATTAAAATGATTTACATAAAATCATGATTCATATTTATTATTAGAGATACCATAAATACTCAAGCAAATCTGGGTCTTTGTTAATCAGAAAGCTTAAGGAATTAATAATGATTACGGAAGTGAACTTCTAACTTAGTCAAAGTTAAGCCACACTGAATTTGTGAGTGGGAAAGGATCCCCTTGAGATGCTATTCACATGCAGTCTCCAAACCTGAATAAACACTTTGACTTTCAAGTGGGAATCAAAACGATCACATGATTGGGACATTTGAATCAATTAAATCGAGTACGTATCTTTTACGCCCAAAAACCCCACTCAAAGTATCTTTAACCGACTGTACGATGGCTTTCCATCGTTTTGGCCAACATTAGATGGCCGCATGGGCCTGCAATCCCCGGTTGTCACAACATATGGCTGTGATTGGCATTACCAAAATTCCACATGACTTTGTTTCAACAGATTTGCGGCAGAAAGAGTTAACAACAACAGATGTTCAAAGCAAAGCGCAAAGCGAAAAAAAAGGTAAACGAGTTGCCAACTAGGGACTAAGGCCAACGAAAGAGACGGGGCTAGTGTGGGAGAGAGAGCGAGAGCGGCGACAGGTCACCGGAGAGCGAAAGAGCTCGCAACTTGTTTGTTTGCCACCCACAACTGGCTGCTGGATGATGAAGAAGAAAAAGAAGATCGCCTCTGCTGGCGTTGGCAGAGCATTTTTGCAGTTACTTTTCATACTTTATTTTTTTAAGCGCACATTTTTGCTGTATTTGATTTTGATTTGTTTTTGTTTGGCTGTCGCTCTACTGACGTCACTTGGCGGTTGAGGTTTTAGTGTTATTTTGCCTTAGCTATGTATAGTTGTTATTTTTGTCGTCTTTGTTGATGTGCCCACCACGACACTTTCTACAAGAAAATGTTGAGAAATCAAAAAAAGATGCGACAGCTTCTTCTCTATGTAAAGCACTGAAAGAAATTACAATTTATTTTATTACTTTTATTGTAAGAAACTTGTTTTTCGACTCTAGCTACTAATATTATATTCTTGATAGACACAAGATAAAATATAGATAAAAGTTCCTTTTGTACTCCAATTTTATCATATAGTTCGAATCAATCTTACATTAGTTTAGGAAACGTAAGTATTTTTTCTAAGTGCATATTTGTTGGCCTCTTGTTGGTTTGTATATGTATGGGTAATAGCCGCAAAAGTTCATTGGGAAAGTGCAACCTGAACCTGCTGGGAAACAAGACCGCCATTGATTGATAAAGAAAACCCCATTAAAATGGGATAAACGATCGTTTGTTTTACTCCCCCGAAAACAAATGAAAACCATTCAATGAAACGCAGACGATTTAATTGATGGAAACGCGAAGAGTGCAATCAAGGAACGTGCTTGCAGCTACAGTGGGTGCAATCGGCGAATTACCATTTCAAACGGCCCCCAATTGGGGTTGATTGTTACGGGAAGAGAAAGAGAGAGAAGGGAAGCCAATAAGAGAACGATCTCCCACAGCAGTTATCAATTGGATCCAATACCAACGATGCACACGTTGATCTCTTATTGGAAGTGCAATATGCGGGTTCTTTGATCGGAATTCGCGTCCAACGTGCGTGGTTCGAACTTTAAGGGGCCCTCTAATCTGTATAGGCTTCGATTGCTTGTTTTGATTAGTTCGTTCGTTTCGTTCGTTTGGCTGGGCCTTCTTCGTGTGTATTCGTAAATAAGTGGGGATGACATCACCGACGCCTCTCTCTCTCTCTCTCTTTTTGTGGCTCCCACTCTCCAATTCTCGCTCTCACTCTCCCATGGATCGATCTCTCTTAGCATCCAACACCTTTTGACGGTGTATCTGTGTGCATTTTAGCTACAGTGGGCGTGTGGCATCTAAAACCCATGATAGTTAAATTTATGATTTTTTACTTCAATTATAGTTTTGCAATAGCAAAGTTACTATTTTTTTATATGTCTCCTTCACTGCGTGGCAAACTTCTGACTGAAATTGTAATGGCCTCTGCGCATAGAGAATAATAATAATAATTAAAACTTTTTTTAAATCTGATTTTTTAGATATTAAATTACTTATACGCACCGTAGCCATATCCTTGACAATAAAAAATAATTCATACGCCGGGCTGGTCATACACACAAATTAAGATTAAACATTAAAAAAATGTTTTCTAATGTTATGATATGGATTAAATTAATAGTTCCAGACCCACTGTGCCTACACATACCATGCCAGTTGCGGACTTGAGGAGGTTGATTTGTTGTTTGTTGGCCAAATGCCGTGAGCGAGATACGCGAGAGAGCGATACGACACGGATACGCCAACGACGAGGAGCTCTACTCTACGTTTTGAGTTGTATCTTCTCGGTTTTCCAATCAGTCTTTTGGAATTCGCGAAACAATGCGGTCGCCGTACGAAGAAAGCGCTGCTGCCGCCGACCACAAATACCAATACCAATACACCGCGGCCAATAATAACAATAATTACTATAAAAACTATAATGTGAACGGCAATGGGCAGGCGAATGGAAATGGGAATATAAGTGGAAATGGTAATGGTAATGGAAATGGAATACCTTATCACGCGCGCGAGAATTCGCTGCCATTTAGCTATGGCATAGCCAAAACATCCACGCCGCTACGCAAAACTCCGACGCCGACGCGTTCGGATAGTTTTCTAGACTTTGATTTCGGTAAAACCAATAATGGGAGTTCGAGTTCGGGCAGTGGTGTTAATGGCAGTACTGGCGATATGATAAAGCCCCCCACCCGGCTGACGAGCCCTTTGCTGGTGCGCAAAACGCTGGGCAGCGGCGTTAGTCCCACCAGTTCCACGAATACCAACACCATAGCCAATACATACCACTACAGGTCGAGCAGCACAACGCCGACGCCGATTAGAGATAATTTCGAGCAGCTGCTGCGGGAGCGTCGCGAAAAGGTCTATAACGAATATAGGACCATAGACAGGGAGTCGGGGGAGCGGGGCCGCGTACCGCCCACTCCGCCGCAGCGGCAGTACTATGCCAGCGATTCCTATGGAAATGGTTTGAAGAACGGCAATAGTTCGGGAAATGGCTTGGGCAATGGCGCCCTTTACAGGAACACTCCCCCAAATGGACTATCCACCAAGTACAACTATGATTTCGAATTCAATCTAAACCTGGATGACGCCAAACCGGAACCCACTCCCTATACCACACGGAATATCCATTTCGAGGATCTGCGACTGGATCAGGATGTGCCAGATGGCGTGGTCAATCGGCGGGCCATG